GGGAGATGGAGAACGTTATTTCTGCAAATATTTGATCCAAATAAAAGTGTGGCCAACAGCTAGAACATAAAGAAACAGACATGCTAAGTAAGGAACACCGCCTAGAATTTGGGACAAGGTGTGTTACTTTAATAAAAAACTCAATAGTTAGCATTCTTCAGTTTGGAAATTCTTGCGGAAATAACCCAACCTAAGAGACAAATTACAAAGGTGTACTGAATACATTAAGAGCATCCCTACAGTCTCATCAGGGATCAGTCCAATATATTAAGGATTATAAGATACTGGTAAATTGTGACCATATGAGATAAGGGTTAGTGTCCAATGCAGAGTTTGTAAAGTGGATTGGAGAGGAAGACATGTATTTAATGATCTCTGTTCAGGTTTAGTGCTATAATTTTTGACAGCTGGTCTTCGTTTTTTAGGAACAAAGTCAGTGGTACTCAAACTTTAGTGTGCATGTTCACCTGGGGTGCTTGGTAAAATACAGAATGCTGGGCACAAACCTCAGCATTTCTAAGTCTGAGATGGGAAGAGTGATGAGAGTTTGCATTTCTATCTAATGCCCAAGCGATGCTGCTGGCTCTGCTGGCCTGGTGATCACAGTTTGTGAATGATGGCCCTGTTTATCAGGCTCCGACAGCTACCTCCTATTCCCATGCTCTGATTTTATAAATACATACTTTTTAAAAAACCAAACGCTTTGTACCATAACGTGGTTTCCTGAGCAGACCAGCCCGGGTATCAGGCCAGCTATAGCTTTGACATAAATTAAAACTACATTGTTCTTTATTAAACTGCCTCTTGTAAGCTTGCTTCTTTTTGGATCAGATCACCAGGGCCTGGATACCTCTGGGTGAACTGACAGCATTGGGTTTCTAAAGTGGAGGCCCAGCCCCTGGAGTAACTGGGGTGCAGGTCACTGACACAGCCAGCCACCTGCCTCTGCTGCAGAAAGTGGGGTCATCAGACAATGAGGGCCACCAGAGTAACGCCCGGGGTTGCTCAAAGTTGGGTTAGGACACTCAAGTGCTATCGTCCCCACCACAACGTCCTCAGCCAAGACAGAGGGGCAGCTCACCCTACAATCCAGGCATGTAATTTAGATTAGGGAATGGACCTACACAGAATTATAAAGACACTAGTAGAGGGAGACAACAAGTATAATCAGGTCTCTCTTCCTCCATGAAGCCTTTCCTACTTCCAATAACACTGAGCTACCTTTTTCTGTGAATACCCATCATACTTCATTCAACAAACATTTGGATGTGGTGGTTCATGCCTGTAATCCCAGCACTTTAGGAGGCTGAGACAGGAGGATCGCTTGAGGCCAGGAGTTCAAGACCAGCCTAAACAACGTAGTGAGACCCTGTCTCTACAAAAAACATATATATTTTTTTTTAATTAGCTAGGCATGGTAGTGTGTGCCTGTAATCCCAACTACTGGGGTACTGGGGAGGCTGAGGCAGGAGGATCACTTGAGCCTAGGAGTTCAAGGCTGCAGTGAGCTATTATCACACCACTGTACTCCAGCCTAGGGAGACAGCAAGATCCTGTCTCTAAAAAAATAATAAAAATAAAGCGTTTGATGAGCACCTGTGTGTGCTCAGATATGTGGCATCAGGGTAGGATTAAGATGTGGTTCCTGCCTTCCCAAAGACTCTCCCTTGGTGGTGTTTTTTTTTTAAACAGTCTTGCTTTGTTGCCTAGGCTAGAGTGCTGTGGCGTCAGCCTAGCTCACAGAAACCTCAAATTCCTGGGCTCAAGTGATCCTCCTTCCTCAGCCTCCTGAGTAGCTAGGACTACAGGCATGCACCACCATGTCCAGCTAATTTTTTCTATTTTTAGTTGAGTTGGGGTCTCAGACTCCTGAGCTCAAGCTATCCTCCCACCTCAGCTTCTCAGAGTGCTTGGATGACGGGCATGAGCCACTGCGCCCAGCCTTCCTTGGTGGTCTTGTCCACTGTTCCCTTCCCATTGCAGCTGCAGGTCCTCACTGGCTTTTGTTTGGTCTCAAAAACTTTTTGACATATCCCCCACACACACAACAAAAAGCATGATATAATTCTTATTAGATGAGTATTCCCAAATTACAGCTAGAATCAGGTCGCTTTTGCTCAAAATTTTTCAGTTCCCCATTACCAACTGAACGACATCCAAGTTCCTTTTAGCCTGACGCAACCATAATACCCACTACCCTCCTCACAACCCCTCTCCAGCCAAATGTGATGAACTGCTGTTTGTATACACCCTGTAATATCACCTATGTTGGTCATACCACCTCCATTTAGAATGTCCTTCTCATCGTTATATGGCCAATTCAAAGACACATGTCATAAAGCCTTCCCCAGTGTCCCACATCTAAAATAATTGTTCTCTGAATTCCTATAGCATTTTAGCCTCAATTATCTGAAGACATATACTATTCTATCTTGTAGATTCCCTACGCAGCCTGTAAGTCCAAGATCTCTAATTACCCTTTTAACCTTCTATAGAATTTTGCCTATGGAGGCCACTGAGATATTCATGAGGGAACAAACTCTAAGGCAGAACAGAATACTGTGCTAGTCTAGGAAAGGATTGTGCAAAGGGGCAGCAGTGGAAGAAAACTGATTTTGATAGAACGTAAACTCAACTATGACTAAGATCTTCGTTTTGTTCACTGATGTGTCCCAAGTTTTCAAAACAGCGCCCAATAGATGCCTAATACACATGCATCTAAGCCAATGTTCCTATGAACATTTGCCCATTGAAAAATGAGTAAGGGAAGCTTTCACAGAAGGGGCTTATAAACCAGAACAGTGCAAAATAGTGTTTGGTTCAGAGAAGGGCATTGCTGAGAGAAAGCACAGCTTATTCAATAAATGACAGGAAGCCCCATGTGGCAGCAGCATAGTTTGGAGAGTGAAAGGAGAAAAAAATGTGGATGCATTAGGTTGTCAAAGTCTTGAGTTTTACACTAAAACGTTTGCTGTTTGCTGGTAGCTGCTGAAAGCCATTGCAAAGTTGTGATGAACACCCATGTCCAGTTATGTTCAAAGATAACTCTAGTAGGAAAAAAGGATGTAATTAGGCAGAAGAGACCACTTAGGTTACTGAGTTCAGGTGAGTGACAACTAGGACCTTAAGTGTGGGAATAGGAATGAGATAAAAGACAGGACATGTAAGTCTCTGATGTCTGGCATTTAATTCTTCCCTATGTATTGACTTCACTCTCTAACTTGATCATATGTGTCCTTCAGACAGCCCATTTCCTGTTTTCTACTCAGCACCTAGCAGAGCAGGCTCTCGGTGAAGGACAGTTGAAGCAGGCAAGAGGCTATGTTTTGGAAGACTCAAGAAGTGCCTCTATGTGCAGAGAATCACCTGAAGATCTTGTTAAAATGCAGATTCTGATGCAGTGGGTCTGGGATGGGGCCTCAGACTCCGCACTTCTACCAAGCTCCTGGGGGTGCCGATGATGCTTCTGGTGCAGGGACCACACTCTGGGACTTAGAAACCAACTGTGACATCAGAGTACTTAATCGAGGAAGCAACAGCACCCCATGGCCAAGTGTGTGGGCTCTGACTCGAGATGGGTTCATACCACCTCTGCTTGGTACTTCACTTCTCAGGTCTCCACCCACATCTCATATGTAAAATGAGGCAAAATCCAGTTCACCACACAGGATCGTATGAGGATTTATTTTTATGTAAAGAAGTTAAAACAGTGCCTAGCACACAAGTGCTCAACAAATGTTAGCAGTAGTCCAAATGCTTGACACAATTACTTCCCTGCCTCAAGGAAAACTTAACTTTGCTAGAGAATAAGGACCGTGTCTTGTTCTTGGCTTTTTTCTCTACAATGTAAGGCATAAGGCTGTTCATATTAAAACACTCAACAATTAGAAGAATAATCAAGGATGGGACAGAGGGAGTATCTACAGTATAATGCAAAACCTTAGAGATAAGACTGTGTAAGAAACTTAGCAAAGCAGCTCCAGAGGTTTTCCTACGCACAACGAAGCTACACAGCTCTCTCCGCACCTGCCCCACAGCTACTTTCCTCTGTGTTCAGTTTCTGTAACAAGACAATCCCATACCTTACAGGAACCCAAGTTTCCTTTTATCTATTCATCTGTTCCTTTTATATCCATATCCCACTCATTCTCCACACAGGCAATTATAATGTCTTTATCTTTTGGTTTCTAAGTGTTCTTTGAAAATCTTTTGTGTGCATGCATTTTTATTTTTTTGAGACAGAGTCTCACTCTCTTGCCCGGGCTAGAGTGTCATGGTGTCAACCTACCTCACAGCAACCTCAAACTCCTGCGCTCAAGCGATCCTCCTGCCTCAGCCTCCCAAGTAGCTGGGACTACAGGCATGTGCCACTATGCCTGGCTAATTTTTTCTATTTTTAGTTGTTTGGCTAATTTCTATTTTTAGTAGAGACGGGGTCTCGCTCTTGTTCAGGCTGTTCTCGAACTCCTGAGCTCAAGCAATCTTCCCGCCTCGGCCCCCGAGAGTGCTAGGATTATAGGTATGAGCCACCGCACCCGGCTGGATACATTTTTAATTTATATAAATGGTATTATGTTATAGATCTCAATTTCTTACCTTCTCTACTCAGCATTATATGTTTTTCATTTTTTTTTTTTTGCTTTTTCTCTCTCACATGCATAGTAGCATTGTATGTTTAAGATGGATACAGATGGCAACACGTGTGTCTAAGCCAATGTTCCTAGCAGCTGCCTACTACTCCCCTAGGTACCACCATATTTCATCTACCCTTTCTGCCTTCCAACAGCTGACACCCACATTGTCTCCAGCTCTCCACCACCACGAGTAGGACCTGTGAATATTTTCATCATTGCTCTCTTCTTGTCTTCTGTCCCAGGTTTAAGCAAAAGTGCAGGTTAGGCTGTGCTGTCAGTTCTGTCACTGTTCCAGGTGTACCTCTCTTCCACCTTGAGCCCCAGAGAGTGTTTTTGACAAATGGAGAAAAAAACACATCTAATATGAACCTTTTCTGCTAGTAGCAAGTTTTATTCTAGGCAACTGCAAATCATCCAAGGGGATATTCACATGACCCAGGAGCCCGATCCCATCTCCCCAAACAACAGTGGGGCAGGCATTCAACACTGCTGGGAGAGAAGCATCTGTATGCTTTTTCTGTCATCCCTAGAATAGACAATCCCAGAATGAATTTGGAAAATGTAATCTGAACAACCTCAAGTAAGGACTGTTGTAATAGGAACAAACTCAAATAACCACTGGTACAAGCTGAACGACCTTAAGTAACAAAATACAGGGTGTCCCAAAAGTCTCCACACAAAGGAAAAATTCTGTCATGAACATTTTCTAAATAAAGGTACATTTAGCTACAATTTTCCATTTTCCCTATGTATGGAGACTTCTGGGACACCCTGTAATTATTTCTACTCCAGGAGGCTGCAGCACCGCAGCAAAAAGTGGGTGGGAAGAGGAAGAGAGGGGTATGCTGAGACACCCAAGCTCCCAGAGCCAGACTCAGCTCCTTTACCAGAATCCTTATTCTCAGCAGGGATGAGGTCTGCCCTGCCACTCACTTCCTCTTGGTCCTTTTGACACAATTAGCCCATTTAAGAGCACCAAGCACTCCCACAAGAGGGAGCCCTGTATGAACCTTGCTCTCTGGCCTAAGTGCGGGTGGGCTAAAAGAGCCCCATATACTTACTATTCCCTCCTAGAGGGTAGGCCCAGTCCCCATGTTAGGAACAACTTCTACAACTCTTGAAATTTAAAAAACAAGTGTTGGGATTTATTCTTTAAAAATCAACTAAAATCTAATTCCAAAACAAGGTTCATCAGAGCAGAATAAGCAGTTCATTTAAATTATTTCTTCTACTTGTTATTAACAGAGACTACAAAAGAAGAAATAGAAGGTTATGCTTCTCAGAACTCTTCCACACACCTGCTTACCTCCCATGGCCTGACTCAACCCTTCAAGGAAGACGTGAAATGCTAGGGCGAGTCCTGGAACCAGCCACCAGACCCTGCGGGGTCAGATCTCCGACCCCAGCCCAAGAGTATCAGCACAGATGGGCAAATGAGAGATAGCAAACTCAGCAGCAGGGTAAAGACCTGGTCCCAGACTCTTCCTCTTCCACGTGATTTTCAGGACAGCCTTTGGGCTTGGCTAGGTACCTGGTCAAGGCAAGGCAAATCAGAAGCAACTTCCCTCAGGAAGAAGTCAGTCCCTGACTCTGCACAGTGTCTCTTCGGGGGGACGAATGCCACCCCCCTCCGCCCCCCAGACGGGCGAGGGGCTGGCACTCTTAAAGCAGGCCATTGGGCCTTCCAGGCTCCAGGGCCAGCCCGCCCCGCTCCCGCTGGTGGATCTTCTGGTGCTGCAGGAGGTGCTGCTTCTGGACAAAGCTCTTCTCACACTCAGTGCAGCTGTAGGGCCGCTCGCCCGTGTGGATGCGCTGGTGCCGCACCAGGTCCGACGGGTGGCTGAAGCTCTTGCCACAGTAACCACAGATGAGGGAACTCCGGCTCTTCCTCCAAGGGATGTGGCCCGGCAAAGCAACCAGGCTGTTGGGCGAGAACCTCTCCTGCATGCGTTGGCCGTCACCGGGCCCCTCCTGCCGGTGGCAGCGCTGGTGGGTCACCAGGCTCCCCTTGCAGCTGAAGCTCCGCAGGCACACGTCACACTGGTGCAGCTTGGCCCTCTTGGCCTGGGGCTTAAGCTGTGGCCTGGGCCTAAGGCTCTCCTCTGGCTCTTCGGGTGTAAAAGACTCCCACCCTGAGTGGCTCCGCAGATGTGTGGCCAGCTGTTGCTTATAGCGGAAGCTGATCTCACATTCAGAACACTCATAGGGGCCGGAAGTGTCCCTTTTCAGCTTCAGGCCCTGCCCATGTTCCTGACTCAGCTGTGTCTGCCTATGAGATTTCTGCTTTGGGAGGTCCATAATTCTGCCACTGCTAAGGTCTCTACTGCCCTCAATGGGCTCCTCTAGGTTAGAACCCCCAGGACCTGTTTCCACGAGGACAGAACTGCCCTGACCATCCCAGAGCTCAGTGTGCTCTGGCGTCAGGAAAGCCTGCTCTTCAGTCATGACTGAGAACTCTCCAGGAAGATGTGAAGAGCCTTCTGGCTTGTACTGTAGGTCCTGTTTGATCACAACCCCATCTGCTGCAAAGAGGAAGAAAACCAACAAAAAAAGATCACAGTCTAGCACCTTCAGTTTCTTCTGAGCCAAACAAACATCTGTGAATTTCAGAACCACCTCAGGAACAAGTGAATTAGGACAATCTGTAGGAGAATGAGACTGACTAGATTCCAAGATTTGTGAAAAACTAACCCTATATTCATGTAAAAGCATGTTGACTAGAAATCTGAATATTACTCTTATAGAACAATATTATAAATGATAGCTCCCCAAGCTTGTCTACAAATTTATATTCAATCCCCGTGAAAATGACAAAATATATTGTAACAATTATACTCATTGAGAGTGTTTAAATAGCAAATTTGAATGATTAAAGAGAAATAAATGAAACCTACAGCTAAAAATTCATGTCCCCAGCTCTGTTCTTCCTGCAGTCTCCCCAAATGACCTGCTAACAAATGCTTTTCCTGCATTCCCTTCCCTCCTGAAGTTCTGACCTGTCCACTCTCAACCTCCAGCAGGTTTTGACTACAGCCTATCACATACTCTATTCTGCAGGACAAGAGGAAGAGTGATATGGTCAATTGCCTTAAGGACCCCAGAGTGGGAGCTAAGAGACACATAACTCATGTGACTCATGGGAACTAATGAGTCACAAAAGAGTCTAGAACAAGCAAAGGCCACATGAGGTTGCCGACAGTTAGTGTCTGGCAGTTCAACAGTAGGAAAGCTCAATGCAGGCTGCAGAGAGCTGCAGGAGGGAGATTGAATATTCTGGATCCACTCACCTGGGTGGGCACCAACAGGGCCTTCCTCCTCTAGGTCGCCCAGCATCTCTGTACTCAACTCTGCTTCTCCCTCTGGCTGGCCAAGGACCTCTGGGTTGGAAACAGCACAGCGTAAGCCCAGGAGAGAGTAAAGCTCACTCCACACTGGGCAGCTGCCGATGAACAAAATGACCAATAGCCAGGAGTAGAAACTAAAACTTCAAAAAGATTCAAAGGCTACTGTTCTTGACACTTTCCCCTAGCAGTGTAGGACAATTAAAAAATTCTGGCCAATGCTAATGCTCAATGTGGCTAGCTGCTGCTCCGATGCCCTCCCCTGGAGCCCCTGTGGCCGAGGCAGTCGGGCTGCGGAGCCACTGCTGCTCTCCCCAGCACCACCACTGCTTCCTCACGGGACACGGCTTAAGTCTTGCCAAGGCTTCCTTTCAGGGGATCCAGTTTTGCCCTTGCTAAGGCACCGCAAGGTAAGGTAGGCAGTGTGACAGAGAAGGAAACAGCTATGAGGAGAGCCCCTGACCCAGCTGAGGTCACATGGTCACCTTGCTGGCCCATCTCCTACTTCCTTCCCCAGTTACTCTGCTCCAGGCACGATGGCCTTCTTGACACTCCTCCGTGGACCTAGATTTTAAAAGATTTTTTCTACCAAACAAAATGCATTTATTACATAATAGGTAACATTTTACACACAAAAATTTCTATCTATTAATCAGCACTTCTAATCAACATGAAATAACATTAAGACCACAATGACTGGCTGTAATTCCAGCCAAATGCCAGAAAAAGCTTCTGGCTAGCCTGTGCTTCCTGCCTCATCCCAGGTACTGCAGGCTTGCTTGTCGGTGAGGCACTCTAGTCATATCACACTAGAATGTATGGAATGACATCTTATCTCTTAGAAAACATTATCAAGAACTATGTGACCACAGAGAAGAAATATAAGGGGCACAACACTGAGACCTTTCCAAAAGTCCCTATAAATGGGAGGGCCTGGAGACTTCCATTTCTCAACCCAGCACAGGCCAACAGAGGATCCAAAACCAACTAGAGTCACAGGTGTAGTCTGAGTCACAGGCTACTGGCCAGAAATTGTAGGATTTCTGGGAGAGAATTCTAGGGATAAAACCACTGCTCACTCAGAGAGACCAGCGTCTCATAGTTGCTCTCCATCACGTTTCTGTAGAGCTCCTTCTGCCAGTCCTCCAGATTCTCCCACTCCTGCTCAGAGAAACAGACGCCGTCGTTCTCCAGTGACCTGGACACCTGAAATCACAAATGGCGCACAATGAGCACCTCTACTCACAGCCATGAAGGAAAAGCCAGGCATTCAGAATCTTAGATATCAAAGGGCTGGGCTCTCCTTCTTGCCTAAATCCTCAGTGGGACTACCTTGGGGGCCTCCCCCTTGCTGCCCGGGGGCAGCCGCAGGACCCAGAAGTTCCTGTTGCGCAGCAGGTTCTCCACGTTCTCCAGCCGCCTCTGCAGCAGCCCGTACTCCTGCAGCAGGGTCCCCAGCACGGCCCACTTGCCCTCCAGCTGGTTCCCGAACTCCATGGCCGTCTTCTCGCAGTCGGCCAGCTTCTTCTCGGCTGTCCCCGTGCGCCCCTCCAAAGTCTGCAGTCGGGCAGCCTGAGACTCCATCTTCTTCTCCACGGCCTGAATGGCGGCCACCACTGTCCAGAGTGAGATCTCAGTGGTCTGAAAATATGAGCTTTTCTCTGTGGCTTGTGAAGGCAGCGTGGAAGAGGTTAAAGATGTGGGACGTCGTTTTCTCCTGTGCTGAAGGATCAAAGATACAGGGTCAGTCAGACAATATCATTTCCAAACATCAAGAAGTGATGCTTGGACACATCTGTCCAAGTCCAGAAGATACCATAAACAAAGTTTAAAAACAAATAGGGACAAAATATTTAACAAGATAGGAAGTGGAAAGAAAAAACCCCCAAAATAGGCCAGGCGCGGTGGCCTGTAATCCTAGCTCTCTGGGAGGCCGAGGCGGGCGGATTGCTCGAGGTCAGGAGTTCAAAACCAGCCTGAGCATGAGCGAGACCCTGTCTCTACTATAAATAGAAAGAAATTAATTGGCCAACTAATATATATAAAAAATTAGCCAGGCATGGTGGCGCGTGCCCGTAGTCCCAGCTACTCGGGAGGCTGAGGCAGCAGGATTGCTTAAGCCCAGGAGTTTGAGGTTGCTGTGAGCTAGGCTGACGCCACGGCACTCACTCTAGCCTGGGCAACAAAGGGAGACTCTGTCTCAAAAAAAAAAAATCCAACTTTTAGAGAAATACATTTATTATGGTCCCATTTTCCTAAAGAAGAGAAAAAATATGGGTATATGTTTATTTCAGCATAAAGAAAGGTTTGGAAAGATATTCACCAAACAAATGTAAACATGGGTTACCCTCAGGGAAATGTGAAGGAGGGTTTAGTCTTTCATTAAAAACTATCACTTGTTCAACTTTTCAATAAACATGTATTCTTTCACAATTTTTTTTCCTTAAATCCAATATTTAAGAGTATTCCTCAAGGTGATTAGAACACAAAAAGTACACTCATACTGACCAAATTTCTGGATTTTCTGGCAGAGGCCTCCCTTTGAATATCATATTGTCAGATCATGTCTTAAACAATAGGTGTATCTTTATGGTCTGAAAATCCCATCACCATGAAGTACAAAATACTTCCCTGTTGTTAAGGAAACTATAATCTTCTTGAGTAATCAAACTCAATCTGCTATATCTAACTATAATCTACTTTCTAATCTGCAAGACAAACATTATAAATAATACTTAAGTTAGACTACATGATATTTAGGGTCATTTCCAACCCTGAGACACTATTATTTTTTAATATTGAATAGTTTAAAAAGGAATACTTATATAATACATAAAATGTATAAAGTAGTGACAAATATTCATGTAACCACCAGCTTAAAATATATATATACATATATACACATACACACATAAATAATACCTTTGATGTCCATTGTGTGACTCTCTGAACTACTATTCTGAATTTGGTTTCTCACTATTAATTACCTTTCTTCAGGTTTTTATGTTTGTTTCTAAAACAATATGTTCTTTAGTTTTGCATGTTTTAGGACTTTATATAAATGGAATCATTGCTCTACAACTTCTAGGAATATTCTATTGTCACACGTGGCTATAATTCTTTTTCACTGCTGCATAATATTCATTGTATGACTTTACCACAATTTATTTTTTCATTCCACTATTGATGTTTCCACATTTTTGTCATCACCAACACTGCTATAATGAACAGGATTGTACATGGTTCCTAGTACACACACAAACAAGAGTCTCCCTTGGGTACAGTCCTACATAGGGAATTCTTGGGTCAAAGGATATATATATACCCTGAACTTAAGTAGATAATGACAAATATTCCATCTTTCTGTTCATTGGCCATTCAGATTTCTCCCTCGGTGAACTACCTGCTCAAGTAATTCATCCATTTATCTTTTGATTTTTTCCTTACTGTCTCATAGAATTTCTCCACAAATTTTGGAAACTAATCTTTATCAGTTTTATGTATTGCAAATATCTTCTTATATGTTCCTTTTTTAACTCTTTAGTATCTTTTGATAAAAAGTTCTTAACTTCAATGTGGTTTTGTTTTACCAATGTTAATTCTTTTATGGTTTGAACTTTTGTGTTGAGTGTAAAAACCAAACCCTTATATTACACAATACCATCTCCTAAACACTTTGTAGGTTTCCCTTTTATATTTGACTATTTGCCTCAACTAAAACTGATATTCATGTATAGGGCAAGGCTCAATTTCCATATGGGAAATCATCAATAGATCTAATACTATCTTATGAAAAATCCATCATTTAACCACTAATCTGTAATGTTATTCTCTGTCACAAATCAAGTTTTCATACATATCAGTCTGTTTCTGGCATCTTTATTCTGTTCTACAGGTCAATTTTCATATGACTTTACCAATATTATAGTCTTAATTATCCTATTTTTATGATAATTATTGACATCTGGTAAGGCAAGTCCCACCTCATTTTGCAAGAATATCACCTGGGCTAGAGTGCTGTGGCATCAGCCTAGGTCACAGCAACCTCAAACTCCTGGGCTGAAGTGATCCTCCTACCTCAGCCTCCCAAGTAGCTGGGACTACAGATATATGCCATCATGCCTGGTTAATTTTTTCTATTTGTAGTAGAGACAGGGTCTCGCTCTTGCTTAGGCTGGTCTTGAACTCCTAAGCTCAAGCGATCCACCTGCCTCAGCCTTCCAGAGTGCCAAGATTACAGGCATGAGCTACCACAACAGGCTAAGAATATCTTGACGATTTTTGGCCCACTGATATTCTACAAACTTGAAGAGTTTCACAAAAATATCTTCAGAGATTTTGCTTGGAACTGCAATGAATCCACAGAAAAACTGAAAATAAGTAACATCTTTAGGATAAAATGTTCCAATCCATGCACATAGTATGCCACTCCATTTCAATATCTTTCAATATTTTAACATATTCCATTAGGTACCTGCTCTGATCGTTGACTGTTGTACAACAAATCATCCCAAAACTCAGTGGCTTAAGACAACGACATCTATTATGCTTTGCTCATGAATCTGCAATTAAAAGAGGACATAGCATGGACAGTTTGTCTCCGCTCCAATGTGTCAAGCAGGGCAAATCATAGGCAGGCAAGTACTAGAATCACTTCAGGAATCTCAAGACACACGAAGAGGGTGCATGGAGGTGTTCTACTCAACAACCTAAGGTTCCTCCACATGGCAGCGGCAACCAACATACACATGAGTGAACACAGTTTTATTCCTAATAAGTTTCATTGTTTTTGCCTTCTCTCCTTTGTCTTCATTGTATCTCTATACATTGGTATTATATGCTGACAGATACATGGGTAAAAAGTTAATTGTATGTTCTATACCTGTGCTGCCCAATATACTAGCTGCTAGTTACACATGCCTGGTTACATTTAAATGAATTAAAATTTAAAATTAAGTTCCTTGGCCGGGTGTGGTTACATGCCTGTAATCCTACCACTCCAGGAGGCCAGGCAGGAGGATCACTTGAGGTCAGGAGTTCGAGACCAGCCTGAGGAACATAGCAAGACCTCATCTCTACAAACATAGAAAAAATTAGCTGGGCATCGAGGCATGCGCCTGTAGTCCCAGCTATATGGGAAGCTGAGGCAAGAGGATCGTTCAAACCCATAAGTCGGAGGTTGCAGTGAGCTATGACGAAACCACTGTACTCTAGCCCGAGCAACACAGCAAGACCCTGTCTCAAAAAAAAAAAATCATTTCTTGGTCATACTAGCTACATTTCAAGTGCTCAAAAGCCACACTGGATTAGTGGCTACTGTATTAAACAGTGTAGAGCAGAACATTTCCATCATCTTGGAAAGTTCTACTGAATGCAGTATACCCTTACTGATTCTTTTCTGCTTGATAAAATACTAAAGTTCTGTTAACATCTTCTATTATGATGAATTTTTCTTGTTCCACCACTTTTTGTTTTATATATTTTGAGACTATGTAATTAAGTGCATACAGGTTTAGAAATGGCATATCAAGATGGTCAATTGAGTCTTTTACCATTATAAAAGTAGTATCCTTCTAGGTCTAGTAATATTAATATATTTAAGCCAATTTTCTTTTAGTATTTATTTGGTATATTTTTTCATATTCCTTTATATTCAACTGTTTGATAGCCTTATCTTTTGCTTGTATCTTTCATAAACCATATAGGTGGATTTTTCCCTATCCTGACAATCTTTGCCTTTTAACTAGACCATTTAGTTCATTTATATTTATTGTAATTATTGATATTATTTTTACCTTTTTTGTGCCCTTCTTCTCATCTTCCTTCTTGCCCTCTTTTAGATCATTTTTTTCTTATTCTGTTATTTCCCTTTCCAATTTGTAGTTACACAATTTCTAGTTTTTTAGCAATTATCCTAGAAATTATGGAAAGCACACTTACAAAGACATTTTAACACTTGAACTCTAATCATTTCTTCTATTTACATCAATACCATCACATATTTGAATTCTCTGTTTTTAATCCCACAAGAAATTGTAACGGTTTTATTCAGTCAACATTTGCTTAGATTTATCCATTTTCAAGGATCATCACACTTTCTTACATTTTCGGACTTTCTATTTGGGATAATTTTCCTTTTACCTAAAATGCATCCTTTAGAGTTTTGTGGGTTTTTTTTTTTGAGACAGAGTCTCACTTTGTTGCCCAGGCTAGAGTGAGTGCCATGGCATCAGCCTAGCTCACAGCAACCTCAATCTCCTGGGCTCAGGCAATCCTCCTGCCTCAGCCTCCCGAGTAGCAGGGACTACAGGCATGCGCCACCATGCCCAGCTAATTTTTTCTATATATATTAGTTGGCCAATTAATTTCTTTCTATTTATAGTAGAGATGGGGTCTTGCTCTTGCTCAGGCTGGTTTTGAACTCCTGATCTCCGCTAGGATTACAGGCGTGAGCCACCGCGCCCGGCCTTTTTTTTTTTTTTTTAATAGAGACAGAGTCTCACTCTGTCACCCAGGCTGGATTACAGTGGCATGATTATAGCTCACTATAACCTAGAACTCCTAGGCTTAAGCAATCCTCCTGCCTCAGTCTCCCAAATAGCTAGGACTACAGGTACAAGCCACTGACACCCAGCTAATTTATTTCTTGTAGAGACAGGATGTTGGTATGTTGCCCAGGCTGGACTCGAACTCCTAGCCTCAAGCAATCCTCCTGCCTTGGCCTTCCGAAGCACTTGGGATGACCGGCATGAGCCACTGTGCCCAGCCTAGAATTTCCTTTAATAAGAGTGTATTGTTAGTAAACTGTCAGTTTTGTTTGAAAATGTCTTTATTGTATCCTTGTTTTTATTCTTTTTTTTTTTTCTTTGATAAGTCTAAGTTTTGCTATGTATCCTTGTTTTTGAAGGATATTTTTGCTGAGTATAAAACTCCAGGATTGCAGTTATTTTCTTTCAGCCTGTCAACAATATCATTTAATTGTTGCCTGGCTTCCATTGTTGCTGTTGAGAAGCTGGTCCCCATTAGTCTTACTGTAGTTCACTGGAAGGTAATCTGACTTTGTTCTCTGGTTGCTTTTAAAAATTCTCTCTTCCTTGTATTCTGTACTTTCACTACTATGTGCTTAAGTAGAGAGTTCTTTTTGTTTATCCTGATTGGAATCCACTGAGTTTCTATGTATTGGTATTTGTATAAGTCTGTGTGTTCCTTCTGGAATTCCAATTAAATGAATGTTAGACTTTCCCATTCATCTTCTATATCTCTTACCTTCTCATGTTCATTCTCTCTTTCTCTCTCTCTCTCGTTTGGTCATGTTTATAGTCTCTTGGCCTTTACTCATAGTTTCCATCCTTCCTTTTATCTTTAAATATATTAAACACAGTTAATTCATATTCTATGTCTAATAACTCCAATATATGACATCTTTGAGAGTCTAATTTTGTTCTCCATTATTTTTACTGACTTCTCTTGGTGGTTTTTCCTTGTTTGGTAATTTTTTATTGTGAACTCATATTTCCTGGAACTTTATCTATGAGAATTAGTTGCAGTCTGATTTACATGCAGATTCCTTCAGAAAAAGATTTGCATTTATTTCAAATTGCCAGTTGGGGGCTCTACTTTATAAGCTAAACTCTTGGCCTGAGGTTTCTTGGACCATCCAGGTAGTACGAATTCAGGATAAAAACTCATGTGAGGGTCACCATAAATTCTCAAGGAACACCTCATACTCATCTCTCAGTATCAAGGCTTGACGCAATGTTTTTTGCAATCACCTGGGGGTAAGAACTTACTTTTAGTTCACCCTTACACAGAATGTTGCCCTTTGGAGTCACAGCTTTATAGGACTGAGGTAGGGAGCTTCTGATATACTCTACCTTAGGCTATGAGTTTTGTCTTCTATTTTCTAGGTTCCTTGGAGTCACACCAAAGATGAATGTTCAGCATGTTTCCTCATAGTTGGCTTCAGAACTCTGATTATCTCTTTAGAGTTCTCTCCTTCACTTAGATTTTGGGCTCCAAGTATTATTTACTAGCACACATTTCAAATATGTTTATGTGGGAGTTTTCCCCAGCATTTGTAGTTGTTTTCCCCAAGGGTATCTTGGTAACTTGGCCATACTGTCAAATGAGAGTCACAGAATCCTGAAGAGATATCTGAGAATAAAAATATGCTGAAGAACAATTTAAATAGTCCTACAATGAAAAATCCAAAAGTTATTTAAAGAATAGTTTGGGACTTTGGTGGACCTTTGAGGCTTCTAACAAGGTCTGTGGAAGACATGTAGGTAACTGTGAAATGACTGCTAGGGAAGAAGCACTCTGGCAGGGTCCTCTTGCCCCACTCAGATACTAATTTGGTCTTGATGAAAATCCTTGTCTTTGACTGGATCAGCTTAGCTTACAGGGAACAGATGAGGTAAGTATTGTAAACATTTGTATCTTGTCTTCCCAATTCAACTGTTAACTTCCTTGAAAGCAAACACTTGTTCCTTAAGTCTTCCAGTCTTTCCTTTCTTAGTTCTTACCTACTTCCTACAAAAAACAAATATTAATATAGCATACGCTGCTCACGGTATAGTTTTCACCACAGAATCTCCTTAGATCTCCATTCTCACAAAGACTTCACATGATTCTCAAAGTGTTTCTGGACCAAGAAATGATTCATTAAAAATTAATTCAGGGCCATGTGGTGGCTCACACTTGTAATCCTAGCACTCTGGGAGGCCGAGGCAGGTGGATTGTTTAGAGCTCAGGAGTTCGAGACCAGCCTGAGCAAGAGCGAGACTGTTTCTACTAAAAAAAAAAAAAAGAAATAGAAAGAAATTAGGTGGACAACTAAAAATATATATATAGAAGAAATTAGCCAGGCATGGTGGTGCATGCTTGTAGTCCCTGCAACTTAGGGGGCTGACGTAGTAGGATTGTTTGAGCCCAGGAGTTTGAGGTTGCTGTGAGCTAGGCTGATGCCACATTACTCTAGCCAGGGCAACAGAGTGAGACTCTTTCCAAAAAAAAAAAAAAATTCAATTCAATTCCATCTGCCCTTTCCATAGCAAATCCTTCTGTATTATTAAGTTAACCACTACTTTGAAATAGTGTGAGAATGTCAGAGCTGGAGAGAATCTTAGAGTTCATCTAGCAACTATTCCAACACTCTTAATTTACAGTTATAGTAGCAGAAGCCCAGAGAGGTAAACAAAGTTGCCTAAAATCAACCAACCGGACAGCTGAGAGATGAGTTATGGCTGACCTCCAGTTTCCTGACTCCATACTCAAGATGTTCCTCATACCAAGCTCCATATCTTGATATTCCCCAATGGGGATGGTTGGGGGAGAGGGAAGCGGAAAAAGAAAGAGCTTGGACAGCTCCACAAGCAAAATCCAGTAACTACACTGTGGGTAACTACACCTGTTCCCAAGGAGAAGAAACCCAGCCTGTGGCTGCAACCTCAGTACAGAAATCTGTAGCAAGAGAGCGTGGCAGAAGAACACACGACACGTCAGACCAAGAATGAGCTAGTCGCGGAGAGGCAGTGAGTCTTGGGGGCACCGGGTGAGCTCACCGGTAGGGATGGAGACCCAGGGTTTCCAACCTGCCCACCGTTCCAACCTGGAAACGGGTTCTCTTTCGGCACAAGAGATAAAATGGTGTGGGCAGGGTCACACACCCAAGAACATAAAACAAGCCTTGGAGAAGTTTCTAGGCAAAGGCGCGCAGCACCGAGGCTCCGACTCCGGCGCGGAAGGAACCGGAGAGGAAGAGGGCAAAGCATCGGGGTCGCGAGGAAGAAGGTCGGTGTTCACCCGCGCCAGCCGGAGCCCCTGGAAACCGAGCCCCGACTGAGCCCCGACCGCGAAGGCCCGCCCCGCCCAGGGGCTCCGCCGTCCCGAACGCGCCCTCGAGGCTGCGCGAGGGTGCGCCTTACCCGAGCAGGCGCCGACTCCGCCATGGCTGCAGCCGCCCCTCCACACCCGGCCCCGCCTGATGGCCCTCGGGCTCTGTGCCAGTCCGCGAGGCGCCCGGGACCCTCCTGGAAGCCGCCACAGCCGCCGTGTTGATACAAGGTGCATTCTGGGAGCAGAGCCCTCCCGGGCCCAAGATTGGCTCCAGCTGCTCGTCTCACCGCGCGGATTCCCCTTGCGCCCCCGTGCGGCAGGAGGGTGAGCAGCAGCTTGGCGCTCCACGCCAGAATGGGGTAGCAAGAGGGCTCTATATCCCTCAAAGCCAAGTGCGGACTCGGAATTAAGGCAAATCCGTCGGCCTACGTTGTGTCTTCTGGGTGCCCATCACTCCGCTAAATGTCTTGAGGGATTAAAAAATGTATAAAACTCACATTTTTTTTTCTGAGGGAAGAACATGTAAACTAGTTGGGAAAAAAGACCCACCCAAGTGACAAGTGGTTTTATTCCAAAAGTTCACCTGTTATTTATTTGCCTTTTCAGAATCTAGAAACACAGTTTCCACATCAACAGTGTGGGGTCAGGTGCCCTGGCGAACCCGCTGTAGCCTATTAATTATGGTGATCACATGCCTTGGAAAATCCAAGATAGCTCTGACTTCAAATGGTTCCAGTCTTCATGCTTCATGCTGGACTAGGTGTTTGGAGTTTTAGTTTGGAAAGCATGGCCACATTGCCATTTCATCACCATGCACTTAATACTCAATACCAGCAACACTACTACAACCATGCTCACCTGATTTATGCCACGCTGTGTCTCTAGAGAAAGGCAGTGAACTTCCACTTCATATGATAGGCATGAAGTGCTTCCTCTGAGAACTGAACTCTTCAGGTGAAAAGAAAATTATTTTCATGTGACTGGCTCTTCCTTTGCACACAGGTTCAGTTCAGATTCTACTTCCTCAGAGACTCATTCCCTTTCCACTCTGTCTACAGCTCAACACCCCCTTGCATCCTAACACTCAATTTCATTACCCTGCTGGGAATTTTTCACAGCATGGATCACTATCTCAAATAATCTAATTTTTTCATTAGTTTACATGTTAATTATCTGTATCTCTTCCACTAAAATGTCTTTCTACTGTAGCCTCCACTTATTGTACACATTAAGTGCTCATAAATATTTCTGAATGATTGAATGGTGAATCAGAGAGTAAGGCTAGGAAAAGTCATCTCAAAGAGAAGCCATGATTTCCAGGGCAACAAGATCAACAGGAGCTTGACTGAATCATACATAAATCTAAAGAAAGAATGGGCCAGTCTGAAGAAACTAGTCAGCCATGGAGACACTGCCCAGGGTCTGACCCACTGTCTCAGGCCAATAAACACTTGCTCTCAGGAACAGAAGAAAAAATGTAGCACAACTGTGGAGACAAACATACCAGGACATAGGGTTCTGAGGTCATTAAACAGTTCAGTGATAGAGCTCACTCCCTCTATTCTGTGTCTGTGCTCACCAAGCAACCTCTGGTGGTGCAGGTTCCCACGTAGCTGCTGGGAGACAAAATGCGGACCAGACTGATGCAAATACCAGTCCACCCCTGGAATTATTAAACTGATACTCTGGTTTATATATCAGTCTCTTGAGAGTCAGCATGATTCAGCATCCCTGACTCTGAGCCTGGATGTCTAGAAAAGGATTTAGATCAAATTTCCTTCCTATAAGGGAGGCAGCACCAGGCACTGGCTTGCAGTCTCCTGGGCTGGCAGAGATGGTGTAGCACAGTGATTTGCACGGTGGGGCTGAGGAGTGAGAGCAGCTGGGCCCCTAGCCCAGAACTGCCACTTACTAGATGTGGGCCTTGGGCAAGTCTTTAACTTCGTAGTACCTCTGCTGCCTCATTATTATTGATGAATAACAATAGTACTTCGCTCAGTTCTTGTGTGGGTTAAACGAGTCAATTCAATTCAAGTACTTAGAACAGTATCTGTCACAGAGTAGGAGCTCAAGGAGTGCTAGTAGTCATTATTATTCTCTGAGTCCCAGCTCCTTCACTTACTGAGAGGTCTGTGGCTTATGCTCATTCTGCCTCAGTGTCCTTGCCTTCCCATTGTGAGTTTGAACACCTCATACTAGGGTGGTTGATGCAACTAAAAGAAGTGCTTATGTCGCCATACAGCATACAGCACGCACTCAAAAACAGGCAATTTCTTGTTTTTGCTTTGCTTTTGCTTTTGTAAGGTCCAAGCCTTGTATTGCAATGAAGTCACAAAAATAGATGTCACTTTGTTGTGTCTCTTAAAAGCTACCCATTTGTCCTTTCCTACTGACTCTCAAATCTTGACACATGCCTTTTAAAAAACTTTAAATGAGGTTCACAATTATTCCCATTGGCAGCAGTGGTATTAGAAAAGTCAAGAAAAGGGATGCTCTTATTACTTTACCCTATCATCTCTACATCTGTGGAATGCAACATGTAAAGCTGAGAATGACATTACAAATCATCTCAGCCACACTCTCATTTTTAATGAAAGAAAAAAGTATTTGGGCCGAGTGTGGTAGCTCATGCATGTAATCCTAGCACTCTGGAAGGCTGAGGCGGGAGGATTGCTTGAGGTCAAGAGTTTGAGACCAGCCTGAGCAAGAGGGAGACCACCATCTCCTAAAACTAGAAAAAATTAGCCAGGTGTGGTGGTACGTGCCTATAGTCCAAGCTACTTGGCAAGCTTGGACTTGAGCTCAATACTTGGAGGTTGTAGTGAGCTACAATGATGCCACTGCACTCTAGCCAGGGTGACAGAGCAAGACTCTGTCTTAAAAAAAAAAAGAAAAAACCCCACTATTTTTAGAATCCCAAATGATATACATTGTTAAAATGATGGTTTTAAAATATTTAAATTATCCTTTAAACTTTCTATTGTGTGTATGATTTATAGCATACATATTGTCACATACATGCACATATATGCATGCCTAAACATTTTTTACTCAAGGAAGTTTATAAACAATGGCTTTATTTTGCCCAGTTGATATTCTTTCTGTTCTGTTGCCCTTACTACCCTGCAAGTGCCTAGATGGCAGGGACCATGCCTTGTGTGTTCTTTCCTTCACATTAATAACCAGCTAAAGAAGATGCCCTCCGTCCTCGTCTTCCAGGTCAATGAGAATCCTAGGATGACCACACCTTGGCCCAAGGTGCTTCCCCTGCTGTATACGTGTCTATAGTGGACACCCATGAACTTCACCATCCCTTTCTCTGGGCATAGCACCTCCCTCCCTTCAGGAAATGCTCATCCCTGGGCTCTAGCCATATAATTGAAATATGTGCTGCCATCTTCCTATGCGGCAGCTCCAGCCTGGTCTCGGTGACATTTGAGGGGGGAGCTCCTGACTCAAGCCAGCCCAATCACAACACCCTAGTCTCCTGGCCACAGTGATGAAGCCAGGGTGGGCATGTGACCTGACTGGGACCTGGAATTGTTTTAATTGTACTGAGGGAAAAGGCTAATTTTCTCCCTAGTGAAACTATATGAGTCAGGAACAGTCTTGTCCTCCATTTTTTTTTTTTTTTTTTTTTTGAGTAAGGTGGTTTGAAGGAATGGTAAGAGTGATCTCAACACAGAGAAAGGAGCAGAGGTGACAGACATATTTTTGTCCCTGTTCAGGAGTGGTTCTTCAACTGTTCTTTTGAGTCTGTGAATAATTCCAGGTTCCTTCCAGAAAGTTCCTCTTTCTCCTTGGTTGGCCAGTCAGCTTCTATGGGTTGCAACCAGAAGCACATTGACTAATAAAAGTATGGACAGCTCTCAGTACAGCCAAACCAAATGGAAGGTCCCAGAACGTAAGCAGTGCCTCCTGTCCCGTCTTTGCATCTTTCTCAGCCCCACAGTTCCTTGGATTTGAAGATACTTCTGAAGGCTCTGTGTGCAATCATTAGAGGACGTGACCTGGAGTGAGGGGACAGGGACAAGGTGGAAGCAAAGCTGGGGCCTGAGAGACCAGGCCCAGTTCTGCTTGAGAGCCAAGGTGGGAATAAACGAGGGGAAGTGGTCAGGCCAGACGGAGCACAGGGCGCCAGCGCGGGCAGTAGGCCATAGACTAGAGATGGCATCCGCCGAAAGGCTAAACATCTGTGCAGCCACTGCATCTACGTGCAGTGCAGAGAAAGAAACGCTCCTTAAAGCACTGAAGGTACTCAACAGGGAACTGGTAAAATAAACAAGGACCATCCATTCAAGGAAAACCGTGCAGCTGCAAAAGAGAAGTTATGTACTGATGAGAATGATCTCTTGCTTTTTTCCCTTAAAATAGCAAGAAAGCAGAGTGAAGAACAAAGTATACAGTATTGTACCTTTCTGCAAAAACAGGAGGATTAGAATACATATGTATGTGTGTTTGTATATCCACAGAAGTATGAATACATATGAGCCCTGATAGCTTGAATGCTTCCACATCAGGGAACTGGGTGACTAGGTGACAAGGAGATTTTTTTAGTGTCTATCCTTTTACACATTTCGAATTTTGAATGTATTAATGTAAAACATATTCAAAACTTCATTCATTAATTGATTGATTAAAAACTGGTACAGAATTACTCCTAGGGCGAGAACAGTGTTTTGTTCAACCAGAGTTTTACAGGCCATTTCAGTTGTGGGAAAAAAGAGGCCGGAGGGCACGGTCTGGAGAGTGGAAGATGAGCAGAGGTAAAAGGAAGTTACTCTCATTAAGAAGTGGGGATTGGGGGATTTCTCTGGGTATAGAATGGTGCAAGAGAGCTACTCTTTAGAGAGGCAGAGATCCAGCCAGGACGATGGCAAATTCTAAGAAATTCCTATGGTGAAATGGTTGAAGGATTTTTTTTAATTAAAAAAAATTTTTTTTTTTTTTTAAGAGACATGATCTCCCTCTGTCACCCAGGCTGGAGTGCAATGGCTCAATCATGGCAACCCTCAAACTCTTGGGCTCAGCAGATCCTCCTGAGTAGCAGAGACTACAAACACCCCACAACATGCTCAGCTCATTTTTTTTTTTTTGTAGAGATGCGCAGGGTGTGGGGAAGGGGGTGGGGTTTCCTGATGTTACCCAGGTTGGTCTTGAACTCCTGGCCTCAAGGAATCCACATACCCATACCTCACCTTCCTGAAGTGTTGGGATTACAGGCTTAAGCCACTGCACCTGGCTAGTTAAAGGTCTTTTAAGAACAGTGGCCGGGCATGGTGGCTCATGCCTGTAATCCTAACACTCTGGGAGGCCTAGGCGGGCAGATTGCTCGAGGTCAGGAGTTTGAAACCAGCCTGAGCAAGAGCGAAGACCCCGTGTCTACTATAAATAGAAAGAAATTAATTGGCCAACTAATATATATAGAAAAAATTAGCCAGGCAGGGTGGCGCGTGCCTGTAGTCCCAGCTACTCGGGAGGCTGAGGCAGGAGGATCCCTTGAGCCCAGGAGTTTGAGGTTGCTGTGAGCCAGGCTGACGCCACGGCACTCGCTCTAGCCTGGGCAACAAAGCGAGACTCTGTCTCAAAAAAAAAAGAACAGAGATGACTGACAGGTCAGGTCTAATTTCAGGTCTTTTGCTGTCCTAGGCTGAGATAAGCCCCTTTCTATAACCTGGGAAGTATAAAAGTATATTACACAGAAGCGTCTTGTGGGGAAATCAGACAAAGAAAACACACTGAGCGCCACCGTCAGGCTCAAGGCAGGGCCGAGAGGAGCCCAGCTCCGTGAAGGGAGATGCAGTGAGTGCATCTGAGAATCCAGACAGCAGGGCAGTGGAGGAGGAGCTGACAAAGGAAAATGAAGCTCTCCTCAGTCCCACATCCTGGAGATGTGGGCAGTGGCGGCGGCTGCTGCTTCGGGCTCTACTGTAGGATGGGGTCTCCAGCCACTCCACGGTTAAAGGATACCCACCCCATAGGAACAAAAGGTGTGGGGACACCCAGACCGGCAACACTGGCTTACACCTCACGCTTCTAACACTGGATACAGGCTCTCCCTTGAATCCTGAACAGGGGAAAAACCAAAGGCAGTCTATTACAACAGGAGACGGTAAACCTATAGAAATATTAAGCTGAGGGGTGGGTGATCCGGATTGAAATATATCTAAAGAGGTTTGAACAGAGGTTCTCAACCTTTGGGACAGGCATCCTGCCAGGGCTGGCGGGGCGGGGGGATATGATTCTGACACACACCCAGGACCCCTCCTCTCCAGCACTACTGGTTTAGAGCTGCCCTGCCCTCATGGCACCCTAGGAGTCAGTGCAGGATGCAATGACAGCCGTGCCCCCTCCAAACTGTCCCACAGTCTAATAAAGACCAGGCCCTGGGCCGATAGGATGCTCCATTGCATGTTTTTATAACAATAACAATTGGATGAACCAATACTGTAAAATTATAGGCACAGGCCGGGCGCTGTGGCTCACGCCTGTAATCCTAGCTCTTGGGAGGCCGAGGCGGGCGGATTGCTCAAGATCAGGAGTTCGAAACCAGCCTGAGCAAGAGCGAGACCCCGTCTCTACTATAAATAGAAAGAAATTAATTGGCCAACTGATATATATATAGAAAATTAGCCGGGCATGGTGGCGCATGCCTGTAGTCCCAGCTACTCGGGAGGCTGAGGCAGGAGGATTGCTTGAGCCCAGGAGTTTGAGGTTGCTGTGAGCTAGGCTGACGCCACGGCACTCACTCTAGCCTGGACAACAAAGTGAGACTCTGTCTCAAAAAAAAAAAAAAAAAAAATTATAGGCACAGGTTGGTTAACCTTGGGCCTCTGGTGAAGTTCTTGATGTTTGCCCCTGCTCCTTGCCTGTACCCAGTACCCAGGGGTCAGATCTCAGAGAGCCAGTTACGGTGCCTGAATCCTTGATCATAAAATAATGTTGTTTGCCTGTGGTTTCTCTCATTTCCAATGGCGTCTGGCTTAAACCTGCTTTCCCAAGACTTCCATTTCATCCTCTCCGTTCGGAGCTATGCACTCTGCTTCTACAGGGATCTGAAGAGGCTGCAGCACGGTGGACCCCGGGCTAACTGGTAGCCTGTCTATGGGATAGTCTGGGTGTTCGAGAACCCCCATGGCCTGGCTGTGCCTCACCATCCAGCTACACCATCTACCATGTCTTCACTTCCCACCCCCGACTCTGGCCACACCAGTCTCCCTGCCTTGTTTCACCCTCACCCCACATGGCCCCCTCTGTCCTTTCCCTCTGCCCCCTCCAACTCAACCTTCAAGCCCTGACTTTTCCATGGAAGTTCATCTAATACTTATGGTATCATGGACTCCTACTCCTTATAGCAACTCCATTGTCAAGCAAACTGCTGCCTTGGGTTGCCAGTTTCCTCTGTGTGCGTCTGTCTCCCAACTCTGCTCTCTTGCACCCCGACAGCACCCACCCTGACTACGCGTGTGCTGAACACTACAGAGGTAATTCAGTGAACAAAACGCAGCGGCCAACGTCCTGAGTGCCACCATCTCTGATCGGCTCCAGGGGTAGAGCTTGCTATGGCACTCTCCCAGGACCTGTGCTGGGAGTTGGGGTGACTCATGGTGCAGTGGGGTCCACAACCTAGGACCCAGGAAACCAGAGACTCAGTCTTGGCCACCACTAGCTCAGTTACTAAACCTCTCTGGGAATCAGCACCTTGAGGGTAAAATCAAGGGATCAGACTGAGCTCTCTGCTCAGATGTTTCAAACACGTTTCAGTGATTTCTCCCCTTCCTCAAACTCCCAACAGCCAAGTCGAAATTTGATCTTATTTTCCATGATTTGGATTATGAAAATATTTTGTTTATGCTTTTGAGAAATAGCATAATGTCCTCTCCCAACCAATCACTGAACTGGAGGGTCTCTTTCTGCTCTACCAAGCTCTACTAAACCTTGCTTGTGTTTAATTTTTCATCTCAATTGTTTTCTTAAGATTCGCCTCCCTCAAAAAGCAGAATGAAGAAAAAAAAAATCCCAGTTAACTGGATTCCAGTTCATTGAGGCTTTACTGTAGGAAGCCAAGCTGGAGAACCCCCTGGCTGTGTGAACATGCAGTCTGCAATCTGGATATCTTTTATTTAATTTCAAGAATTCCCTTTGCACGGCAAAAATGGGTCTGAGGAAAGCAGAGCAGCGCGATGAGGGCAAGGGCGGAAGCGGAGAGCTCAGAAAAGTGGTGCCGAGTGCCGGCTGCCCACTGTGCCCCGGCTGGGAGAGAAGCGGGAAGAGCAGGAAAGTCATTTTTGACACAAACAGAACAGGGTCCTAGGGCATGCCACCCCACCCCGGTGCTTGGCCATGCAAGATGCTGAAATGGGGCTGTGGCTCCTCGGGACGTGGTGCCTGGAGCCGCGAAGCAGATGCACCAACATGAAAGGGAGTTCTTTGGGCGCTTCCCAAGGCGCCTGCAGGGTCCAGAGCACAGAAGGGTCTGTGTCCATGTCCAGGAGCATGGTCAGTTAACAGATAGCACCAATTGGGAGGCCCAGGGCAGAGAGACTGAGGCTCACACTCTAGCACCCACTTGCCCAGCACTCCAGGGAAGAGACTCACTTTCCTGGTAGCTGCTCTTGCAGCAAAAGCCTCTCCCTCACCCCTCTGCCCTGGGGAAACTGGAATAAATCACCAAGGAGAGGTCTGACCCAGGGCGCCAGCTGCCTCCGGAGGGCCAGGGCACTATTGGGCAGTGCAAAGACCTGCTGCACCAGATTGAGGGACTGGAAGTGGGAAGCAGAGGCTGGGGGCTCGGGGGCTGCCACCCAGAAGCTCTCACCTTGAAAGAGCCTTCCAGAAGCATAACCTGGGGTGTTTTGTAGCCAGTCTGTCCCCCATCCCGGTAACCCCATGAGTTGCTTCTGGAGTTTTTTGTTTGTGTTGGTGGGTCGAGGGGAGGAGAGCCCAGGAAGGCCAGGCCAGAGCGGTCTCTCCGGCCACCGAGGTAGGCAGCGTGTGTGGTGGGGACACCACGCTGGGCGGGCGCCTGGGCGGCTGCGCCCCTCTTCCTGCGTGATCGTGGGTAAACCGTCTCACCTGTGTCTCAGTTTCCTCAGTCACCAAGTTAAGAAAATCCTACCCTACCTATCTCAGAGGGATAGGCTAAGGGTGAAAATAGATAACGGATAGAAAATACTTTTAAAAAAGTATAAAGCGCTATTCCAACGCGAGGCAGTGTTCTCATAATAAAGATGTTACCCTTAGCGCAACCCTCAGCTCGCCGTCAGGCCTTCCCTTCCTTTTTCGGGGCATCCCCTAGCCTTAGGACCTTATTTCCTTATCTCAGAAGGGTTTAGACTCCCTGGTCGCCTCCCCCATCACCATGTGTGGCCCAGGTGGCCTGAGGGCGGTGCCTCCTTGCGGTCCCTCGGCACCTCCCCAGCCACTCGGTCCACCCTATGAGATGAGCTGGGCTGTCCACTCCGACCAGACGGGTCTGGGGTGCCCCTGCCCAGCCCTCGGGGCCCCGCCTGGAGTGCAATTCCTGTTCCCGATTTCCAGCAGGTGGCCGGTAGAGGGCGGGAAGGCGCCCCGAGAACGCCCGGCGGGCGGGAGGGCCCGGCCCAGGACCCCGGCCGCCCCTCCCCCAGCCCAGCCCTAGTCCCGCTCGGGCGGCGGCTGCAGCGGCCGCGGAGCGCCCAGGCCGGGGCCGCCGCTGTGCACGCGCAGGTGGTCCTTGAGCGACTCCTTGTAGCGGAAGCTCTTGCCGCACTCGCCGCACGTGTAGGGCCGCTCGCCCGTGTGGATGCGCTGGTGCTTGAGCAGGTTCTGCTTGCGGATGAAGCTCTTGCCGCACAGCGCGCACTGGAAGGGCCGCTCGCCCGTGTGCAGCCGCTGGTGGTTCTGCAGGTGCTCCTTGCGGCTGTAGGTCTTCTCGCACTCCGAGCACTTGTAGGGCCGCTCGCCGCGGTGCGTCATCTGGTGGCGGATGAGGCCCGAGTGGCAGTTGAAGCTCTTCTCGCACTCGGCGCACTCGTAGGGCCGCTCCTTGGTGTGGCTGCGGTGGTGGATGATGAGGCTCTTGCGCACGCCGAAGCTCTTGCCGCACTCGGGGCACGAGTAGGGCTTGCTGCGCGCGCCGTGCAGGAGCAGGCTCCGCCGCAGGCCGCCCGGACAGCAGCTGCCGCAGGTGCCGCCCGTGCCCGCGCGTGCCAGCGTGCCGCGGCCGCGCCGCGCCGCCCGCCGCGGCGCTCGCCCGCACCGGCCTCCCCCTGGCAGCGCAGGGAAGCCGTCGTCCAGCAGCCCGCGGCTCGGGGGCCCGCCCGCGTTCTCGGCCACTGCCAGCGGGGGCAGGCTCTGCGGCTGGGGCTGCGGCTGCGGCTGGGCCTGGGCCTGGGCCTGGGCCTGGGGCTGTGGTGGGGCCGGAGGCGGGTTCTTCACCATCAGCAGGCTGTCACCTAGGGGAGACACGAGGAAGTGACACGTTGACAGTGTTCTCGCCCAGGACCCCACACTGTCCCTGCGAGGAGGCCCAGGTCTCATGCCTTCTGGGCCTCAGTTTCCTAAAAATAAGGGGACTGAACAAGATGAGCGGTCACTGTCTGCATGCCCTCCCCCACCTGCCCAAAGCCGCCCTGCTCCGGGGCCCCACAGCGGGTCGGGCAGGTAGCTCACAGCAGGGGCAGGACACCCCTGCAGAATGCTCAGGGCTAGGGGGTGGCGGGATATCAGAAATCACCTTGGAAGGGAGGACTGTCCAGACATGGCAAGACTTGATTGTGGTTGGACAATGCTAATTTATCTCGGGAGAATCTCTCACCGGAGGGAAAGAACTTGCCAGGACTTATCCCAGGTGAATCCTGGCTAGAGGTCCGCAGGAATGGAATGCAGGGAGCTGGGGCCATAAGCACCAGGCGGACTGGCAGCCGTGTCTCCACTAAGCAAGTGGCATCTGACGTGGGCAGGGTGGGCAGCGGGGACCATGTGAGTCCCACCTCGGCCCTGATGGCACCTGGACCTGCCCAGCCCCTGTATGGAAGTGGCTGCCCCGACTGCCGTCCACAGAAGTGTGGCTCCTTCCCCACCCCCCTTTTCCTTGCACCCTAGAGTCTCCAGGCCACGAGTGCACAGCTCTCCGCCACCTTGGGGTTCAGTGAGGGACGAAGTCCAGGCCTGAGCATCCGAACAGTGACCTTAGGCCCAGAACTCCACTGCTGGCAGAGATGCAGCATGCCACCCAGCATGCTGACTCTATCTGGGAGTCTTCTCATGCCTCCACCCTCTGTCACCTTCCCCACCTCCAGTTTGAATTCCTTTTTCCCTGGGGGAGCTGGCTCCCACATCTGGGGCAGCTGCGGAAGAACTCTGAAGAAAGTAAAGTCTGCATCTGCCCCCACCTCTTCTGGGCATCCCTTTTTCTCCTCTGTGCTCCCAACGCGCCCCTGCCCAGGGCCCACCTGCTCCCTGGAGGCCACTTCTCTAGCCGCACCTGCCACGTTTCCACCAACCCGCCATGCTTGCTGGTGTCTGACCGAGGCCTGTCCTTAAACGATAGCCTCACACAGACCGGGCCCAGGCTTCCCTCTGTCCCAGTCGAAACTGACCAGGCAGAGAACCATCTCCGTAGGACACTGGCCAGGGGTAGAGGCCAAAATAATTCTCACGTCAATTCAGGACGTCTCAGGAGGGTCATCCCAGCTCCAGAGCGTCCTGTGAGGTAAGTGTGGCCTCGGTGGCTGCTGCACTGTAGGTCTTTGCTTGCCCTGCTACCAGCCCTGCTAGTCTCGCTCCTTCATAGGCGTTACTCCCAAGAAGACTGACAAGGAAACACACGCATGTAAACCTCCAGGCACTGTTTCCCAGGAAGCCCAGCCTAAGACAATCTACTCTGATAATTTTTCCAACGCAGCGTGAGACTCGAACCATTTTCTCACGGCCCAGCCATGCTCCATGCCCTTTTTCTGTCTTCCCGTGCAACTCGGCAACCACTTGCTGGCAAACACCCTTACTACCTTTTCACCCCTCTCCTCCGTCGTGCTTGCCTGGAGAACCCCAGTCCTGCGACTGCACTCAGGCGGCTGAATGTGGCTGCAGAAAACTGCACAAACCTCAGGAGGGCCCCCCCACATAGCCTGGCACCCTGGCCCGGTCTCACTCAGTGTTTCCACTCTTCCAGGATTACGGCATACCTCCTCCTCTAGCCCCGCCCCCATGGGGAGTTTCCTTTCTATTCCCTGGCAGCTAATGGCTTCAGATATAAGCACGTGATGTTTGCTGGGAGGCTCCTGGCAAGGTTTTCTCACTCTTTAGAGTGTGCAGGACAAGATGGCTTTCCGTTTTCCTCTGGGTCTGGATATGAAGCTTGGAGCAGCTGCAGCCTTCGAGCTGGCAGCCTGAGGATGAAGCTACACCAAGCATGGCCAAGCAAAGAGTTGGAAAGAACCTGGGTCCTTGAAAACATAGCTGAGTCCTTGAACCAACTAAACCTGAACCTCACTACCTCAGGACTTCTAGTTACACAAGAGAATACATTTCTTTATTCTTTAAGGCTGTTTGAATCAGGGTTCTAAAGCAGTTGAGAGCAACCCCTACCAGACACAATGGTCTAGTTATCTCTCAACTTAAAAGAACACCCTCCCTAGACCCATGTGCCCCTCACCCCAGTTCATCTCATGTCATCTCTCTGTTCCCTTCCATAGCAAGATGCACCAAGAGTTCCCTATACTTGCTCTTACCTCTTCTTCACCTCCTAGTCTCTTTTCAGATGATTATAGTCGGGCATGTGTCCCCACCATTCCACCGAAACAACTTTTCTCAAGGTCACCAACAATCTACAGCCCTCCGAATCCAACAGCCTTTTCCCTGTCTTGCATATTCAACCCCTCACTGGCATGTGACATGGTTAACCACTGACTGGTCTTTGTCCCTCATTCCTGGGAGACAGCCTCCAAATCCTTGGAATTTCCTGAGTGACAGGAGTGTCTTTGTTATTCATGGTAGGCTCCTAGAGGGTTGAAGCTAACAAGATGACTCAGGATGGGGGCTAGCCATGGCGGAAACACCAACCCCATGATTCAAGGGTTGGGGCCTGCAGCCCATCCTCCAGGCAGAGAATCGGGGTGGAGACAGAGTTGACTCTTGTGATCAATGATTCGATTGATCATACCTATGTAAAGAACCCTGAACACAAACTCTGGACACTAAAGCTCAGGTCAACTTCCTTGGTAGGCAACACTCTGCATATTGTCCCACATCAATGTGCTGGGAGTGTGACACGCCCTGACTCCACAGGGAGAAGACAATGGAAGCCTCTTGTCTAGGACCCTCCCAGATCTCGCTTTATGGGTCTCCTTTTGGCTGGTTCTGATTTGAATACTTTTGCTATATTAAAACTATAATCATACATATAGCACTTTCATGAGTTCTGTGAGTCATTCCAGCAAATTACTGAACCTGAGGGGGTAAGTGGGAACCCCCCGAATTTATAGCCAGCTGATCAGAAGTAAGGGTGGCCTGGGACCCCCAAACCGGTGTCTGGTGTCTGAAGTGATGGCAGTCTTGTGCAGGGCTGTGCCCCTGACCTGGGGAGTCTGGCCAGCTCCAGGCAGCTGGTGCTGGAAGTTACTGCAGCCTGTGGCTCCCAAATCAGTTGAGCCCTGAGGTCGCCCTCTTGAACTTCAGACTCCTATATTCATCTACCTAACACTGCCACGTGGAGGTAACTTCAAATTTTAATAGGTCCAAAGGAGAATATTGATTGCCACAGCAACACTGGTGCTTTTCCAGGGCTCAGCACCTCAGCAAATGGCACCACTGTTCACCCATTTCCTCAGGACCCAGACCTAGGAGTCACTCTTGACCCCTGACCCACCGCATGCAATCCGTCAGTCACACTCTCAACGTGCAGCTCAAATCCACCTGCTTCTCTCCTGTGCTCGGCTGCTATCCCAGCTCTGACCGCCCAGCACCCTCCACCTGGTCTGTAGCAAATACTTCCGCCTCCACAGTGGTTCCTGTGCCCCCTCGCTGGCTCCGCACACCACCCCCAATCCCGTCCCGAACTTGTCCTCCAAAATCGTAAACCAGACCATGTCACTACCCTGTTTAAAACCCTGTATCAGTGTCCTCTTTTATCAGAATAAAATCCAAACTCTAACTTGGTGTATGTGGCAGGCCCCTCCCGACCCACAGCTCCAGCTGCACCCTGGAGCCCCCGTGGCCTCCGCCCTCGCTCCTCCTCCCTCAGTCCTCTCTTCCCTGAGTCCCGTGGTTGCTCCTTCTCCTCGCGGAGGCCCACTCAGGTGTGACTTCCCAGGGCGGCCTTTCCTGCCCCCTCTGCCCTCTCCCCTGCATCACTTCCACCTGCCTGTTCTCCCTGATGCACCCTCCTCCTCCTAGCAGTCCCCACACCTGGACTTTATCTTGTCTGCTTGTTGTCTTGCTTTCTGTCCATCTCCTGCTACACAAGGAAAGGTCTTTCTTCACCGCATAATCTAAGTGCTTACAACATGGCACAGCACACAGCAGACACTAAGTAAATATTTGCTAAATAGTAACTAAAAAAGGTCAGAGACACTGTTTTAACCCAAACAGGCCCACGCGTTTCAGTGGGTGCTTTCAAATCACATTCTGGGGAGGGTGGCCCAGCTCCAGGCTCCTGACCACCACTCCCTCCAGAAGCACCTGGTAGTCACTGGACTCCAAAGTCTATCCACACTTCCTGCTTCGATGGAGCCTCACGCACGTTAACTTTGGATGATCTGGATATTCTTCTTATTTTACACTAACTGAGAACAGAGACAGCAGAGACTCCACACTCATTAATATAGAAATTCAGAATCCTTTTTACAAAAATGCAATGTCTAATTAGGTTGAGGTCTGACTTTGAGTCAAGCAGGATACTGGTTCTCTCTCTCTCACATATTCCAGGGCCAAGGAAGGAGGCTGGCAGGGAGAGGTTTCATATATTTCCGCATTTTACCCTCTACCCCACTACCTTCTTCCCTTCCATCCCCTCTTCAGAAGACTCTTCCACATAATACCACCTCTCACCCTCAGCTGTCCTGGCAACCACAACACTAGGTTGCTCTTAAGCCTCAAAGAAACCACAGATGAGATAGTAGTTTGAAACTCTAACATTAATAACCAGGAGGAAGGCTCACTTTGGGAGAAAGAACAGAGGCCCAGACAAGAGGCTGCAGTGACTGGGCAGGCAAGAGAAGCATTTCAGACACTCCTGTCTCCCACATTCTGGGCATTTCCTCCCAAACGCTAGGGTTTGAAGGCCTTCCAAAGCTTTCCAAAGATAAAACAACACGAGGCAAATTTCATGAGCCATCACAGCCAAACTGAAGCAGGAAAATGGTTCGGTCATTTGCGAAGCCCTGTAAGTTCCTCCCGACCTTCCCAGACTGGCTTCCACACTGCCCAGGTCCTCAGGAAAGGCTCCTCCAGGCCCACGCGCTCCGACTGGGAAGAATCGGGAAATAGCGCTGAGGGACAAGCAAGGGTTTGGCAGAACTTCCTGGCCCATGTCTGAAGAGCCATTCGTGAGCCTTCAGGGCACAACCAGCAGTGGTGGCCCAGGTGCCCTGGAGGAAGAAGTGGTGTCAGCTACTATCATTTCTTCCTGTGCTTCGGGGTAGTCCCCTGGCTTTCCCCCATGTCACCCCACCATGCCAACAGGTTACAAAGAGGACTGCTCTCAGTTCTTTCAAACAAGGGCACATAAATCCCTCTACCGGCCCTGGCCAAGTCCTCCAGGCCCGCCCTGGCTCTTTCAGAAATGCACCGAGTCTGTCTCACAGAGAGAATGATCTGCTCACTGAGTTGGAAATGGCCATTCGGATTCAGAAATAGCCTATGTCCTCAGCTCCTGCATGGATTTAAGCTCTTACATGATGTCAGGAGTCCAGACAAGAGCACGTGTTCAGGTATCCCTTCAACACTCTGATCAACCCCTGGTGACACTAAGCCAGCCGCCTTGGGGCAAGGGGATTGCACTGGGTCTAGCAAGGAATGTTAGCCTGATGCTAAAAGTGTTAAATAATCCATAAACATATGCCTAAGGTCACAGGTCAATAAGAGGAGCTTCAGAAAGACCCAAGAGACCCAAGTCTGGTGAGACATTTGGTTCCATACCTGTTAGGGAAAAAAGTCCCCTCTGTTTGAGCCTCAGTGGCTTCACCAGTTACTCGGGGATGTCAGTTCAGGGCCAGCTCGGGTACTTTAGCTGGTGTTTCCTAGTCTGTGGCCACCTGTTGCCACCAACCCTGCCACAGGTACCCCAGCTCATCTCTCCCAGCCCACTCTCCTTTCCCTGCCATTAAGGCTTAAATTATGTCCTCCCCTAAAATATGCTGAAGTCCTAACCCCGAGTACCTCAGAATGGGACCTCATTTGGAAACAGGGTTGCTGCGGACGTAGTTAGTTAAGATGAGGTCATACTACAGTGGAGTGGGCCCCTAATCCCATACGACTGGTGTCCTCACAGGAAGTCGACCGTGTGAGGACAGACACACAGAGGAACACCGAGAGAAGAGGGAGGACCAGAGCACTGCATCTATGAGGCAAGGACGCCAGCCGCCAGGCGCTGGAAGGGAAGAATCCCCACAGGTGTCAGAGGGAGCCCAGCTCTGCCAGCACCTCGACTTTGGACTTCTGGCCCGTAGAACTTCGAGAGAATAAATTTCCGTTTTTTAAGCCGCCCGGTCTGTGGCACTTTGTTATGACAGCTCTTGGGAACTAATACACCTGCTCTCACACGCCAGAAAGAAAGGGGACAGTGCGTTGGTGCAGGCCCTTGGAAGGCTGCTGTCGACAGGACGTCACACCGGAAGGGGCAGGCTGAGGAGAGCAACCAGCCCTCATCTCGGCCCCCGCTGCCCAGCCCCACGAGAGAGACACCCCGCGTCCCGGCGGGCGCGTTACTCACTGGGGCCAGAGTCCAATCCGAGCTCTCCTTCCACTGAGTCACGTGGGCCCCACGGGTACGGCTGCTCCTCCTGCTTGATCCACGACAGAATGTCATGGGCTGAGATGAGAGACTCTGTGTCACAGAGAGAAGGCAGGCAGTCTTAGGTTTGGTTCCCTTCTGCCTGGCCTCCCATCACAGCCTCCAAAACCACTGCGTGTGGAGGCCCAGCTCGCAGGGCACGTGACAGCTGTAATGCCCGTGTGGCACTGAGAGGCCGCGCTTCTTACCCTCCAGCGCCTTCCTAAACAGGCTCCCACTGGCTGCTCCCCGCCTTTCAAGCTGCTCAGAGAGGAAGAGATTCACGCCAAAGTCTGTCCAGTGGCAGGGCCAGGATTAGAACCCAGGTCTTCTGAACCTGCCCACTGATCCCCAGGGGAACGGGTGGGGCCAGGACAGGCTTGAGTCTGACGGCCCACAGGGCCACGGCTCACTGGTACAACTCAGAAGTCAGCAACGGCAAAGGCAGCAACCGGAGGTCACCCATGAGAACCGCAGTGAAGCCTGACGACTCTATCAGGAAGGCTCCATGCTCCCTCTGCCCCGGGTCCCCTCAATTTCTCTGTTGGAAAGTTGACAAACTACAAGGAATCCTAGATCCTACTTCCCATCTTCTACTTCCAGGCAGAAGACACCGGGCTGCTCCGGTTCTGCAGACCCACACTCAGGCCCTGGGCAGGTGGAGCGTCCCTACCATTCTCGGTATGTTTCCCTGAACGCCCGGACCCTTTCAGAAGTTTCTTGGGGGACATCCAACTAGTATTCACTCAAGAGAAATTCCAGCAAATGCAAATGACATTGTTCCCATTTATTTTTTAAATTTTTTGTTTTTAATTCTTATGGGTAAGTAATAGTTCTAGTAAACGACTTTCTGACGGAAATATACACAGATTTTAGAAGCTCTTTGGTTGCTTTTATTATTCAAAAATCAGTGCTGAATTACTTTTAGTAATTACTTTTAGTATCAGTTCTCTTGGCGCACTAACTTATCAACTGTGATTCCTTTTGAAACATGCTGTTTTCCCTTAGTATTTATCCGGGCACCTTCTCACCTGAGTTGGGGTCCGTGGGAATGTCTCTGTCTGCCAAATCCTGCTGGTCCCACACACACTGGTGCTCCTCCTGCTTAATCCGGGACAAGAGGTCCTGGGCAGAAATCGGGGAGTCTGCTCGTGGGGACAAGAGCAGCGAAGGCATTAGAAGACGGGAAACTGCCTGCAAGTTTGTGTTTTGTGTAAATCTCTGATTTCATACAATTATCTCTTTCCCCTAAACATCAGGTATAATTAAATTAGCCTCATTAACTAGAAAAAGGTTTAAGTCAGCTTGGCCCCAACTAATGGAGCTTTTGCTGCAACTAAGTGGCTACCATAGGGAGTGACAAAACAGTGACTTTAAGACCAAGAGTCTCTCTGAGCTGCAGGAACTTAAACGTCCTCAGGATGAGGTCCCTGCCCCAGTGCCGAGACCACCATGCAAAGAGGTATTTCTGATGAGGCGATTTTCTAGGAAGCCTTTAAAAAAAGTTGTATATTGACAAATTATAGTTGTATGTAATTATGGGGCACAAAATAACGTTACAAGAAACCTTTTAATCATTTGAATGGGATTTTTCCACGATGTAAGAAAGCTCCTATATTTTCCTTCTTCTACAGAGTCTATGAAACCTAATTTACCCCTTATTGCCTTCTTATCTCTTAAAGCTCTCTTTATTTTATTTATTTATTTTTGAGACAGAGTCTCACTCTGTTGCCCAGGCTAGAGTGAGTGCCATGGCGTCAGCCTAGCTCACAGCAACCTCAAACTCCTGGGCTCGAGTGATCCTTCTGCCTCAGCCTCCCGAGTAGCTGGGACTACAGGCATGTGCCACCATGCCCGGCTAATTTTTTCTGTATGTATTACTCGGCCAATTAATTTCTTCCTATTTATAGTAGAGACGGGGGTCTCCCTCTTGCTCAGGTGGTTTTGAACTCCTGACCTCGAGCAATCCACCCGCCTCGGCCTCCCAGAGTGCTAGGATTACAGGCGTGAGCCACCACGCCCGGCCAAAGCTCTCTTTAAAAATAGTAACCCCACGATGGTTCCAAGGAACATGCCTGATGACAAGTGAACGGGCTTTCCTCTACCCAGACACTATTAGCACTTACCTATGGGTTTGAGGGTTTGACTAAGGGGGATGAGGTTTGTGGAACTCTAACCTGTGGACAGGTAAAGAGCTAGAGTATATTAATATATCTCGTGAGGATCAATTTTATGTGTCAACTTGGCGTGGCCCCAGTACCCAGATATTTGGTCAAACATCACTTAGATGTTTCCACGAAGGTATTTTTCAGATGAGATGAACGCTGAAATCGGCAGACTCGGAGTGAAGCAGAAGACCCTCCCTAATGTGGGTGGGCCTCGCCCAACCAGCTGAAGGCCTAACAGGAAAAGACTGGCCTCCCCCAGGGAAGAGGCAGTTCTGCCGGCAGTCGGCCTTCAGACTGGAGCTGCGACGTCAGCTCTTCTCCAGGTCTCCACCTGCCAGCCTACCCTGTCCATTCTGGACTTGCTGGTCTCCCCAATCACGGGAGCCAATTCCTTACAATAAAATAAATCCCCCCACCCCCACCTCTCTCTCTTTCTCTACACACACACACACACACCCACTTATTGCTTCTCTTCCTCTGGAGAAGTCTGACTCATGCACACGTCTGCTCCAACAGCGTTCTCACCTACGACCAGAGTCCAGCCGGAATACCACCTACGAGGAGCTCCCCGCAGGACCGCAGGCAGGTGGGTGCCTGGCATAGCAGTGGCAGCCCATAAATACTTGTTTGAAACAATGAAAGGTCTTCCTGGTCAGGGAGCAGGTCTTGCTGACCTACCTGTTCCCCTACCCATAAAGCCTAGTAAAGTGCCTTCCACTTAGTGCTTCTGCCAGGATATTGTTTTTAAAGGGGAAGGAGGAATAGCTAAAGACAGATACTACAAATAACAGAGGAAACAGAACGAGCTAAGCCTAGATGGACGGGCACATTGCCAGTGCCAGTGTCATGTATGTGTCCCCTGGAGGAATCCTGTCTCAGCCCAGTCCTGGACCCACGGCCCCCCCATTTCTAGCTCAGCCCTGTGGCCCGGCACGCTCAACGGACAACGCCAGGAGCCTGTGGCCCGCGCTGACCCTCCGTGGTCTGGGCGGCTGCGTGGCTCACTCACCAGTGATGGATTCCGTGGGGACGGCTCGTTCCTCCAGGCCGCGCTGGCCCCGGCCACACAGAGCTTCCTCTCGCTTCACCTGGGAGGACGCGTCCTGTGCAGGCACCAGGGGCTCTGCTCCTAGGGACAAAGAATCACATTGCTTGGTGTCTTTTTTCTGCACGATGGACACCAGGACGTTTTGGGGGCAGGAAAGTGACCGTCAGCACTTCCCAGGGGAGAGTCTCGGGGTCTCGGGTTCCTGTTGGAGCCTTGGGGGACCCTGAGGAGCAGAAGGTCCTGGAGTAGAAAGGCAATGAACATTCAAGAAAAAGGAACAGGCAGGCAGGACAGTGAGGGGTGACGAGGCCAGAGAACGAGTTTAGAAATGAGCCCATGCTGTGCAAGCGGCTGGGCGCTCATCCGGACGGGGCCTTAGACCTTGCTCCTCACCGCGGCGAGAAAGAGCTGGCCAGGCCGCGGCCAGGTGCACACCGCGGGGGCTGTAAGGTCAGCAAGAGGTCGGGCCGGGGAAGAGGCACAACCAAGCTCTGTTCTCGGATGCACGACGCACAGCATCCTTCCGCACTCAGTCCTCACTTATGGTCGACAACGGGTTTCTAGACACTTCAAGCAACACGACACATGGAAGGTCCTCGAGCCACATCGTTGCCTTCAACGTTGTTTCGTTGTAACATCGATGAGGAAAAAATATCTGTGGTGTTATACACCACTTCTCTCAAAGTCAGTTTCCAAGAACCTACTGACGATGTTCAGTGAGGACTTACTGTACACAAATGACAATGGCAAATGCTCTCTCTACACAGAACCCCGATTCGTGACGGACCGGACATCTCAAGGTGTTTCCCGGCGCAGCGCGCTAGCCCTGGCAGGCGGCACTCAGACGGCCGGACAGCGACGGAGGAAGGATCTGAGGACGGCGTTCCTGTTCCCAGCCCCCCTCTGACGCGGGGACGAACCATTCGACCTCCCTGCGTCCCAGTCTGCCCTCTTCGTCCACGAAACAGGCACGGTGACCCCTGCTCTGTCTCTTGCACAGCGACGGCTCCATACCCCACCGGACCTGTTGAGGGCACCGCGCTTTCAGTGCAGAAAGCCACCGCGTGAGACCAGTGCTGTTCCCGCGGCTGCTGAGCATCCGCCCCGGCAGTGTTTGACGAGGGCAGGGAAGGAGCCATTTAGAAGCAATGTCCAGGACGGGAAAACCCAGAGCCAGGGAGCAGATGAGAGCTCGCCGGGGCCGCGGGGGGAAAGGCAGTGGGGAGTGACCGCTAATGGGCCTGGGGCTTCTTACGGTGGGCGCGTTCTGGAATTCGGTAGTGGTGACGGCCACAAAGCTTTGTGACCACTGAATTATAGTATATACTTCAAAAGAGTTAAACTTTGTGGTCTATAAATTAAATCCCAGTAAAAGGGAAAGACTGGTGGGGAGGGGGAAGAGCGTGGCCCTGAGAGAGGTTTCAGTGGAAGTGCTCGCCACCGAAACACAGGCCCAGATGGGTGAAAGGTCATCCCATCAGGCAGAGAACTCGGCTTGGGCCACAGAGCTCACCCCGCCCAGCACTGCCCCCAAGTGTAGAGGCCCTGTTAAAAGACTTCCAAGGGTCAGGCGCGGTGGCTCACGCCTGTAACCTAGCACTCGGAGCTGAGCGGAGATCCCTCGAGGTCAGGAGTTCGAAACCAGCCTGAGCAAGAGCAAGACCCCATCTCTACTAAAAATACAAAGAAATTAATTGGCCAACTAATATATATATATAAAATACCGGCGGGGCACACGCCTGTAGTCCCAGCTACTCCAGAGGCTGAGGCAAGAGGATTGCTTGAGCCCAGGAATTTGAGGCTGCTGTGAGCTAGGCTGACGCCATGGCACTCTAGCCTGGGCAACAGAGTGAGACTCTGTCTCAAAAAAAAAAAAAAAAAAAAAAAAAGACTTCCAAGAACCCTAGAACCTCCCATCCCAGTGAAAGCCCATCATGTGTGATGTCCTCAGGGAACCGGATTTCTTCAGAATTTCACACTCCTTCTCGGGTGAGGCACAGCATGCAGGGCGAGTCTGCGTGGGATGCGTGTGTTTCCACGTAAGACTGAGGAGCTGATGCTGCAGACCCGAGCCGAGCAATGAACACCAGGCCGGGCAAAACCCTGGGCTGCTGCAGACTCCCTGGACAGCTCTTGTCCCGTCCCCGGGCCTCTCTCTGCAGTTCTCCATCAGGGCGGAGGGATCTCATCTCTCCATGGGGCTTACCTGTAAGTCCAGAGCCACGGCTTCTCCAAACCTAAAGACACGTAGCTGTGGTGCACTCTCAGGCCCTGAGATCTCTTCCTGTACGTGACCACCAAAATTCAACTACGGCCAAACTGGCCCCGGAGCAACTCAAGAGAGCTCCCCCTTGAACACGTGCAGGAACGAGAAGCGCCTCCCAGTGGCAGCTGCGGGCTGCCCAGCTCCCACCCCCGGCCCTTCCCTGCAGCTGGCACTCTCTTCAGCTGCCGTCACCTGTGTCCGGATCCATGGGGATTTCTCTCTCCTCGGGTGACGTTGCTCCCACACACAAGGCTCTTCTCTGGGCTCAGCCTGGCGGGGCATCTGGCTGGGCACTGGCGTCCGCATCTGGAAGTGAGTTGGAGAAGGAGACTGAGTAAAGCTGGCCAGGGCCCAGGGCAAGGTGACACGAGAGCTCTCTGCTACGGGGGCAGTCCACCCGTGTCCCTCCACGTGGTAGCAGGTATGCAAGTAAGGCAGGTAATCTCCTGTGAGGAACCTTGAAAACAAGTCCCTAGACCCACATGTCTAGTGTAGAAAGAGCTGGTCTCTGAAAGCAACATCAGGCCAACTGTGGCCGACCCCAGGCTGCGGGGAGGCAGTGAGCAGTGGGGCAGTGTAATCCTAGCACTCTGGGAGGCCAAGGTGGTAGGATCGCTTGAGCTCAGGAGTTTGAAACCAGCCTGAGCAAGAGATCCCGACTCCACTAAAAATAGAAAAATTGGCCGAATTTCGTGGAGCTGTCTGTAGTCCCAGCTACTGGGGAGGCTGAGGCAATAAGATTGCTTGAGCCCAGGAATTTGAAGTTGCAGTGAGCTGTGATGACGTCACTGCACTCTACCCACAGCCACCGAGTGAACTCTTGTCTCAGGGGAAAAAAAAAAAAAAAAAAAAAAGACTTCCAAGAACCCTAGAACCTCCCATCCCAGTGAAAGCCCATCATGTGTGATGTCCTCAGGGAACCGGATTTCTTCAGAATTTCACACTCCTTCTCGGGTGAGGCACAGCATGCAGGGCGAGTCTGCGTGGGATGCGTGTGTTTCCACGTAAGACTGAGGAGCTGATGCTGCAGACCCGAGCCGAGCAATGAACACCAGGCCGGGGCAAAACCCTGGGCTGCTGCAGACTCCCTGGACAGCTCTTGTCCCGTCCCCGGGCCTCTCTCTGCAGTTCTCCATCAGGCTGGGAGGGATCTCATCTCTCCATGGGGCTTACCTGTAAGTCCAGAGCCACACGGCTTCTCCAAACCTAAAGACACGTAGCTGTGGTGCACTCTCAGGCCCTGAGATCTCTTCCTGTACGTGACCACCAAAATTCAACTACGGCCAAACTGGCCCCTGGGAGCAACTCAAGAGATGCTCCCCCTTGAACACGTGCAGGAACGAGAAGCGCCTCCCAGTGGCAGCTGCGGGCTGCCCAGCTCCCACCCCCGGCCCTTCCCTGCAGCTGGCACTCTCTTCAGCTGCCGTCACCTGTGTCCGGATCCATGGGGATTTCTCTCTCCTCGGGGTGACGTTGCTCCCACACACAAGGCTCTTCTCTGGGCTCAGCCTGGGCCGGGGCATCTGGCTTGGGCACTGAGCCGTCCGCATCTGGAAGTGAGTTGGAGAAGGAAGACTGAGTAAAGCTGGCCAGGGCCCAGGGCAAGGTGACACGAGAGCTCTCTGCTACCGGGGGCCAGTCCACCCGTGTCCCTCCACGTGGTAGCAGGTATGCAAGTAAGGCAGGTAATCTCCTGTGAGGAACCTTGAAAACAAGTCCCTAGAGCCCCACATGTCTAGTGTAGAAAGAGCTGGTCTCTGAAAGCAACATCAGGCCAACTGTGGCCGACCCCAGGCTGCGGGGAGGCAGTGAGCAGTGGGTGCAGATGGTGCTATGTTACTGTATCCCAAACAGCAGTGGTGTAACGCTGAATTCTACGGCCACAGGCCCTGTCACTGGGTTTTTCATTTTTATTCTGTTAGAAATTGTTCTAGGCCGGGTGTGGTGGCTCACGCCTGTAATCATAGCACTCTGGAAGGCCGAGGTGGGCGGATTGCTCAAGGTCAGGAGTTCGAAACCAGCCTGAGCAAGAGTGAGACCCTGTCTCTACTATAAAAATAGAAAGAAACTAATTGGCCAACTAATATATATATAGAACAAATTAGCCGGGCATGGTGGCGCATGTCTGTAGACCCAGCTACTTGGGAGGCTGAGGCAGGAGGATTGCTTGAGCCCAGGAGATTGAGGTTGCTGTGAGCTAGGCTGACGCCACGGCACTCACTCTAGCCTGGGCAACAAAGCGAGACTCTGTCTCAAAAAAAAAAAAAAAAGAAAAAGAAAAAGAAATTGTTCTACCATACCAGCATTATAAGTAAATAGTTTCTTGAGTTCCCATTAGGTATAAACATGAAACAACTTGCCGGGTAGTGTCAATGTGGCTTAGTAAGCATTTCACAACCCTCTCCAGAGACTGTGCACCAAAGAGGAGAGGTGTCCTTACCTAGTGACATCAGGGTTTTGTAATTCTCCTTCACAAGGTTGTTGTAAAGCTCCTTCTGCCATTCGTCCAAGTTCTTCCACTCGTCCTCAGAGAAGTAAACAGCAATGTCGACAAAAGTCACCGGAACCTGAGCCAATGAGAGAGTTTCAGTCCAGCGCTTCCTGCTTGTTCCTCCTCCTCCATCACCTGCACCCGTGGGCCCCACCTCGGCCCTGAGCCTGGCCCTGCCCCACGGCTCCCGCCAGCCCCCACCTCCGAGTCCCAGCCCCCCAGCTGGGGCAGCCCATTTCCATGCGGCAAGTCCTCTGTCCCTGGCCTTCTCGTGTTCCCAGTGACAGTGACCGTCAGTGCTGTCCCGCCTTTTTTAAAAAAAGCATTTAATCATATGCTTTGTTATTTCACTTTTAGGTCAACTGGACACCTGAAGGTAAAGTACAGTCAACGTGCTTCTTTGGGCATTCAGGGTGACAGAGGGTGGCAGGTTCTCAGAGTGGGTATTGGTGAGCCAAGCACAGAAAAACTGTTATCAAACCTGTATTTCAGGTCAGGTCGCCTCTGTGTACACAGTTACATTTTTGTTAGTGAAACAAAAATCTAAAGGCATGTGCTAAAGCGCCAGGATCTCGGTCTGCTCTGCCGGCCGCTGTATCTTATGCTAGAGCAGCGCACAGTAGGGAATCAACGGACGCTTGTCCAGGGTATTGAGCACCCACTGAGTGCCAGTGCGAGGAAGTTCGGCGGGAGCCTGACTCGTTGCCTGAGGTCACTCACATGTCGTCAAGGTACCCTGATCTGTGACATAAAGCTGTTCTTTCAAGTTGACGAGGATCCTCCTCTGCCCTCACTTCAGCCACTCGCCAGCGCCACCTCACCCTGGACTGAATTGTTCAAAATGATTTCACTGCCATGACTTTAGTAACCGAACTCCCTTCTGTGGCCACGCAGGCTTCCCTCTTACCACTCTCACGACGCTACTGAGCCGGCCTTTCACTCTCGCTCTAAAAAGCCAGCGACTCCATTCTCCCCGACCCCCAATCCCAGTCCATCAGTTTTCACGCCTGCGTTTACAGGGCCGAAGCTGGCTGTGTGGCACCTTGGTGCAACTTAGAAAAAGACAGCAGAGTGGGCGCACGGCATGGTGAGCAGGCAGCACCTTTACACGAATCAGAAACGTCAGCCCCCGAGCCAGGTGCATGGGGCTCTGAGGGTGCCCCGTGCATCTGTGAGGTGCATCCGTGTGCCTGGCCCGTCCCTGCTCACGATAGCTCACCATCATCTCTAGACTCACAGCTAGAACTGTGAACTCCTTGGACTTTCCACCAGAAAGAAACTAATTGGTAAACCCCCAACCTAGGAAAATTCATATAAATCCCTTTCTTCATTTAAATTCCCTGTTGCTGGATAAAATCGACAAAATCCTGCAGACAACATCCTCCGTAAATTCTATTGTCTCGCAGCCCTTTCTCGATCCCCTGTTGGCACCTCAGTATGTTCCCTGGGAGGCTTGTTCTAAACTTCTTGCTCTCCCACACCTCCACCTGGACTTCCCCCATCCACCTTTGACCTCAGGGGCTATTGCTCCTTCCTCATCCTCCCCCTTTCTGCCCCGTCACCCCCACCAGTAGTGCCCTTCCTCTCCTCCACCTCCCGCCTGCGAAACTTAACCCAAACAATCTCTTCTTTTTCACACCTTCAGCTGTTCCCTCCAGGATCATCTCAACCTCAGAAAAGCCTCTCTCAGCTCTGCCACCTCAAGTTACTCTGCTCCCCTCTGCACCTGAAACACCCTGAGACATAGCCTGTCTTTTCTTCTTCAGATCGGTGCCCGCTTTAACCCTTTAAGACCTGCCTCTGTACCCTCTGCCGTCTGAAACCACACCCTAGAAGACCATCAGTGCCCCCTTCTATTGAAATCCTCACCCTCTCTGACCTCTTTGGAAGATCAGACCACCTTTCTAGAATGTTCTCCTGCTTGGCTCCCATAACTGCATTGCCTCCCGTCCGTCCGTCTGGCTCCTGTCTTCTTTACTTTTCCTCTTCCTCCTCCATGACCAAGGCCCCGCACTTTCCCCGTGGCAGTTTCACCCTCTGCCCTCAGCTGTCACCACCTCGCAGAGTCCTCTGCAACTTTCCTTGCTCCCTTCTCGTTCAATGGCCTTCTGAGTAGCTCCGATTAGTCACCTTTAAGTACCTCAAACTGAATGTATCCAAAGCCAGGTTCGTTACCTTTCCACCACACCAACTCTGCTACCCCACTTCACCATCTCTGTGGAGGACCGAAACTCTGGAATCGTGTTCTCACATTTGGAAACAGACATCACTGTTTCAAACTGTTACAGGATGTGGCAGAAGCCTGAGGCATGCTCTGGGACTGCAGGGAGCCTATAGTCGGGCTGGACAGAAAAGCCTACCCATGAATTAGCCGTGAGTCAACTACAAATACAACAGAATCCAACAGGCACAAAGGATCTGGACACGGTATCTTTCCTTCAATCAGGCAGATGAAGAGAACTCATCTAGCATGCCCAAGAGGATACAACGAGTTGTAACTGTTGCTAGCAACATTAGGTAACATTTTCAAGGTGCTTTATGGTTGGGGTGGTTTTAAAATATGTCCACAAATTATTTGACAGTCCCTTTAATAGGTGTATCCTCATTCTTTCCGCCTCAAGCATGGGCAGGATTTCGTGACTCGCTTCTAATAAATCAGTAAGTGACAGTGCAGAACAACTGAGACGACGTCATAAAAGACATTGCAGCTTCCATCCTGGTCTCTCTATAGGCTCACTCCCTCTGCAAGGAGCCAGCGGCCATGCTATGCGGAAGCTCAAGTAGCCCTATGGGGAGGTCCGCGTGGTGAGGAACTGAGGACTCCTGCCCACAGCGCAGTGAGGGAGCCATCTTCAAAACAGGCCCTCGGCCCCATAGATGGCAGCTGCCAATAGCTCGACTGTAACTTCATGGGACTCTGAGCCAGAACCACTCAGCCAAGCTGCTCCTGAATTCCTGACCCACAGAAACAGCAAGATGACAAATTACTTTTTTTTTGAAGGCTGCTACGTTTTGGGGTAATTTGTGACACAGCAACAGGTAACTAACACAATAACCTGCATAGTGTTTCCCCATAAACCAATTCAATTCATCTTCACAACTGCATTAGGTAAGCATACTATCATCTTCGTTTTACAGATAATAATACCAAAACTCAGAGGAACCAGCTGGGAATTTACTTATTTATACTTCACTTCTTCTAAAAGAGGAATTGAGGAGACCCAGAGACAACGAGAAAATATTTGACCAAGGGCAGGAAAACCAGTATGCGCCAAAGTCAAGATTTCAAACCCTAGCCCTCTGAATCTGGACCCCCAAACCATTTCATTATTCTATAAGGGCACATGTCAACTCGAGACTCCTTGAATGCCTAATCCAATGTGCAGAACACACAGCACCATGTAGGAACACCCCACAGTTAACTCGCACAGTCCAGAGAGGAAAGCGGTAGATGAGCTGATGCTGACTGTGCTAGACAAGCAATACACGCAAAACCATACTGAAAACAAGTCTCTGTGGGTCCCAGTGCTAGGGAATGTTTGTGGAGGAACCAAAGCCACTATTACACTCAATTCTGTGAAGCCTCAAATGTAAATGTCAAATAACTACTCTGGCAAAGTCAGCTGGGTTGGCTGCCTCAGCAGACACAGAGACACACAAGATGTGGTCCCTTCCACGGAGCTGTCAGCTGTCCAGCTGGGGAGAGTCACTTCTTGCATCCAGCCCTAAGCCAGGTGCTGTTATAGGCCCAGGGACACCAGTGAACTAAGCAGAATTTACATCCTGGTTGGGGAAAACCAACCAAGAAGACAAAAAAAAAAGAATACTGTCTTTAAGAATACTACCTTAAAATATTTAAGACGCCAATGGCATTAGTGCTTTGGAGGGAACAAGAGCAGGGCCTGGGAGATGTGCTGGGGAACTTGGTCCCTCTGTATGTAGAGGGTGGCCGTGGGAGGGCACTCTGATGAAGTGACAACGGAGCAGACCCCCGATGGGAGCGGGGTGCAGAGCCCTGCAGACATCCAGGGAAGGACCTCTCGGTGGAGAGTCCCTGAGGCGCGGGCCTGTGTGGTCGATGGCAGAACAGCAGGCGGCCAGTGTGCGGAAGGGGGTGGGCACCGGGGAGGGGACGGGAGGTGAGGTCAGAGGGGCAGGGAAGAGAGCACGAGCCACAGACAAACTCGGCCTTCCATTCCGAATCCAATGGGAGGCCATGCGGGAGGTTTCGGGGGAGGTGTAACGGGGCTGATTCATGTACTGGAAGGATCATCTGGCTGCTCTGCTGAGATCAGACTGCACGAGCTGGGGGACAGGGATGGAGACAAGGAGACCCGTCAGGGGCCGTGGCAACCATCAGATGAGCGATGACCGCAGCTCGGGCCAGACGAAGGTGGCAGCAGCAGCGGAGGTGGCGAGGAGCCGTCAGATGGTGGACACGTTCTGAATAAAAATACTAGTATGTTGGAAGTAGGGTGTGAGAAAGAAAGAAGACAAGTGTGACTGCCAGGCTCTGGCCTGAGCGCCTGAAAGGACGCCACTGTCGGCAGCGGAGATGGGGACGGCTTCGGGTAGAGCAGGCTCCAGGCAGAAAATCTGGAGTACGCTTTGCTCACGTTAAAGCTAAGATATTTACTGACACCCAAATGGAGATGCTGAATTAATAGGCATCTGGGCAAGACACAGAGAGAGGGAGAGTGGGAGGGAAAGAATCTGTTCGGGAGCTGACGGCGTGAAGACTGCACTCAGCGCCGCGTGGGGCCCCAGGGAGTGAGTGCGACCGGAGAGGGGGGCCGACACGCAGCCCTGGGCCCCTCCACACACTCAGGGGAGGACGCAGAGCCAGCAAAGAAGACGGACACAGAGCAGCCACTGAGGCAGGAGAAGCATTAAGGGAGAGCAGTGTCTGGGAAGCCACGCGAGAGGGGGTTTGAGGAGGGAGTGGTCACCGGCACACAGGGCTGGGACGGAGACTGAGAGCCAGCCCCTGGCTGTGAGACCGGGGACAGCACCAGGGAGCAGAGGCCTGGTCCTCGTGGGTTCCAGAGAGCACCAGCCAGTCACCAATCTCCTGGAACGCTGAGAAGAGAGGAACACGGTCAAATGAGACGTGAACATGAGACCAAATGAACATGGTCAAATGAGACCACGCGATGCAAGCAGTGGGACTCAGACAGTCAGACACGCGACAAGACAGATGGCCCAATTCCTTCCCCAGACAAACTGTGAGGGAAAGTTAGAGATGGAGGAGGAGCCTATAGATTAAAAAAGACTTAAGAGACATCTCAATCCCAATGTGTGGACCTTATTTAAATCCTGATTCAAACAAACAAAAAAATGGAAAACAACTGAAAATTTGAATATCGACTGGATGTTTGAGTAGGTTACTGTGGCGGTGGTAACATGTAAGGTTATCATTTTTTTTTTTTTTTTACAAGAGTCCTTACCATTTAGAGATAAGACTGAAATATTTACAAGTGAAATGATTAGTGTCTGGAATCTGCTTCAAAATAAAATGGGAGGCGGGAAGTGGGTGGGGACTTAGACGGCACAAGATTGGCCAAGAGTTGATTTCTGCTGAAGCTGGATGAGGGTTCATGGGGAATCACACCACTATTCTATCTACTTTTTGTATATGTTTGAATATTCTATAGTAAAAAGAGGGGGTAACAGAGAGAGGAGGGGAGAAGATGGGGAGGAGAGAATTGGCGATAAGTACAGACAACTCTTTTAAGGGATTCTGCTTTAGAAAGGAGCAGAGAAGTGAGGCACTAGGTGGAGGTTTTTTGCTATGGAGACGGGCAGAAGGAGGGAGAGTTCACATGCTGGGGGGAAGGACCCAGCCTAGCAGGGGAAGCTCATGATGTGGAGGAGAAAGGGGGGAGATGCTAGGGAGACCCCCAGCAAAGGGGGAAGGGCGTAGACACCATGCCACAGCGACCAGGGAAGGCAGAGTCTGAGGGCACCAGGGCAGCAGGTGGATGAACAAAGGCAGCCTGCGGAAGCCCCTTCTGAGTGACTCCATTCTCTCAGCAAAACAGAAAGCAGTGAACGATCTGGGGACAGCAAACGGAACAGGAAACGGAGCATGAATTCCGAACTTCAAGAAGGGCCCGCCTGAGGTTAGTGATCGTGACTTGAAAGCGATTCTGGTCTGTGTGGCTTGGGGTCCATCTCCAGCGTGGCCAGATGAGGACACACAAAGACAGCCAATGACAAACGGCCACTGGTAGGAGCCAAGTGCATGAAGCAAGCAGTGAAGAACTATAGGAATCCACAGACAGCCAGATGGCTCAGGGAGGGTCTGGGCCTAGCGACGGCAGAGGGTCCAAGACACAAACATGCAGACTCCGTGGGGAACGAGTAGAGGCCAGCCTTGCTGGGCCAGAACACTCAAGACTAGATGAAGCAGAGACAGGCTTTAAGAAGACCCTGAAATTAGTCAACAGGGAGCCAGAGAAGTTTGTGAGAAGGACTGACAAAATAAAATCAAGGGTTTCCTTCCTCACCTCCATCCCTGCCCCCCCAGGGACCCCCCATACCTTGGGGGCCTCCCCCTTGCTGCCCGGGGGCAGCCGCAGGACCCAGAAGTTCCTGTTGCGCAGCAGGTTCTCCAAGTTCTCCAGCCGCCTCTGCAGCAGCCCGTACTCCTGCAGCAGGGTCCCCAGCACGGCCCACTTGCTCTCCATGTGGTTCCCGAACTCCACAGCCGTCTTCTCGCAGTCGGCCAGCTTCTTCTCTGCCGTCCCCGTGCGCCCCTCCAGGTTCAGCAGTTGGCTGGCCTGGGCGTCCACCTTCCGCTCCACAGCCTGAATGGCGGCCACCACTGTCCAGAGCGAGATCTCCGCTGTGGGCAACTGGGGCTCCCGCATCATGCGGTCAGGGAAGACGGGTGCCCTATCCGGGAAGGGCGGGAACTGAAAAGGCATCGGTCGCCGGGCATCCATGTCCCATTCTTGAGCCTGTGTATGAAGGGAGAAAGTGACAGCTCAGGATGAGACCTTGTGGGGGGGGGGGAGGCGGCTTAAGATCAGGGGACAACCAACCACATGCTACAGATGGTCTTTCTTCTGCCAAGCGCCCACCCCTCAGGCTCTGGTGCTCATCAGTGTCCTCAGCAATAGCTAGAGCACCAGCCACCCAACTAATGTCTCACCCACCTCCTGCCTATGGGAGTCAGGCTTGTCACTAGTTCACCCACCTTGACCCTTCGCAAGTGAAGGTCATGACACCTGCCTAAAATGTTGCAGACCACTTTCTTTGACTAGAACAGCTGCTTTCTTCAAGGGCCAGACTTAAAGACAAACTTCACATTTGCCTGGTGTTTTTTGTTCCAAAGAAAGAACTTGCATGTAAGTTATCTGACGCTAATCTTCCCAGCAATCTCTCAGCAGGTTAGGGCAAGAATGATGATCTCTGCTTTAAAGATGATGAAACCAAGGCACAGAGACGCGACGGGTCACCCTACAGCACCTCCCTGCACTGCCAGCTGGAGCAACTCTAGGTGCTGCAGGTAACAAAAACACCCTTCAGGTAGGTGTCGCCGCCGCCGTTCCCACCAGGGCCACGGTCAAGGGAGAGACCAGAGAGCCCCAGCTAGAGGGCAGACAAGCAGCTTCCCCCCATATATTAATACAACTGCTGTTTCATACATATTTTGCAAAATTAAAATAGGTGTACTAAAAAACATCACTCATTAGAGGGGACACTCCTAACCCCCAAGAAGACTTAGACAAAGAGAAAAATTCCTCTGGGCTCCCCTCCTGCTTCTTGGGGAAAGGCTCCCCCAGGGCCTGGGGCCTCTGCCCATACCTTCCAGCACAGGGCCTGCACCCCAGAAGGTACAGCTGGGAGGTACAGCTTGGGAGCTGAGCCCCAAGAGAGAACAGTCAAGGTGGTCACAGTTCACTGGTCATCTGGGGAGGTGGTGTCACACTGTGCCAGCACCCAGGGCTCACTGGACAACAGCACGCGCTGATAACCAACTCTCCTTCCCATGTGGGACCGGAGGAGTCATTTTCTGTTCTCTCTGTTGCTGATGAAGACGCCTTCAGGTTGGGAAAAGCAGAGACCTCCTGCTTTGAGGTGGCATGGGCAGGCCAATGGCAAGAATGCCCACCACCCTCTCTAAGTCATCAGCCCCAACAGCCACAGAGGGGACCCCATGGCCTTCTGAGAATGGGTGCATGACAGGGAAGAGTGGAGAGCAGGGCCCCAGGAATGCCAGACCCTGCTAAGTCACAGGTGGCAGCGACTCCACCGAAGGCTCCATGTGGGCTTCTGGAGGCTTCACTGCAGCCCAGCCCACGGAAGGGACACGGCTGACAGGGAAAGTTTAGGAAGTCAGGGCCCCAGCTCAGTTTTCTCAGGACCTAAAGCTGAAAATTGATCAAACACAACAGGGCAGCTCCTGGCTGACCTGTGAGAGCCGGGCGCTGAGCGGAGGGGGCCTCCAAGGAGCTGCCCGGGCCCTGCGAGACCCTCCTCTGGGAAGGCCACCTGGGCACTCTCAGGACCCCCTTGTCTGCACCCAATTCTGGAGCACTGGTTCTCAGACCTTGCCCACGGAGATCACTGAGGGAGCAGCGACTGGTGCCTCCTCTGGCCCCAGAGACCCTGTGCTAGCCTCTTGGGGACCGGGCCAGGGCGGAGGGAGCTGCCCAGGCGACTCCAGGGTGCAGCCGCTTGCCAACGGCCGGAAAGACGACAAAGTCACCCCTTCCCTGGCTCACACTCGGTAGAGGAAAGTGAGTTGCTCCCCACACTTGCTGAATGATAGCAACAAAACAATTCGAAGAGCTTTTGGTCAAACTGGCTGCAGCGTAGCCCTCGGCGGGGCATTCATTCCCGCCGCCGGAGCCAGCCGCGCCGGCGAGCCCCTCCGCCGGTCGCGCGAAGGGGAGGCCGGCTGGGGCCCGGCGACGGGTCTCGGCGCCGCCGGCTCCGGGAAGCGGGGCCCAGGCCCGGCGCGAGGCCTCGGCACCGGCCGGCATGGCCGGGCTCGCGCTCGGCGGGCTGCGCCCGGCTGCGTCGGGCCGCTCGCCTGCCCGCCGCGCCGCCGCCCGCTGGGCCTGGGCCCGCGCGCAGCGGGAGCCGCGAGGCTCGAGGACCGCCGCGGTCCCCGCGCCGGCCCGCGCCCCGCCCCCACGGCGCGGCCATGGCGCCGGCGGGCTGCTCCCACCTGCATGGGCGGCATTCCCTCGGCCATTTCCCCGCGCAGCGCCGGCTCCTGGTGGCAGACCTCCTCCGGGGGCAGAGCCTGGGCCCAGCTCCAGCTCCCGCTGTCCAGCCCCAGGCCCTGGATGCCCAGCTGCTGAGGCTGCGGCCGTGTTGACACAAACTGCATCCTGGGAGTGCTGTTCCCCGCTCGGGCCGGCCAGGGAGAAGAAGAACGTTTTCCAGGCGCCTTCCCCCTCGCCGGGGCCGGACAGCTCCATCTACAGCCCGTAGGAGCAAACAGTCCCCTTCGGCGGCGCTCCCCGCCCCTCCGCCGCCAGCGCGCCAGCCAATGGCCTGGGAGCTCCTGCCCGCCTACGGGGACCGGCCGGGCCACTCCCGGGCGGGGGCCGCCGCCGCCCCACAGCGGAGTTGCGGCGGCTCGGCCGGTCCCCAGGGCCCCTTGGTCTGGGATGGCCTACCTTAAAGTCCGAAACCACGCAGGGTCCTGAACAGTGGGCTTGATTTCTGTTGGGCACCCCAGGAGAAAATGGTGCCTGATCCTTTCGAAATTTTTGCAAAAGTTAATTCTGTCTTCAGACATTTTATTCTGGCCCTTCCCCTTCCCTCACTCCTTTGCAGGCTTCACCTCTCCCCTTCTTCCCAATCCAAATTTACCTGGACCAATCCCTGGCCTTTGCACTGGCCTGGATGATAGAGAAGCGATTTATGTTAAGGTGTCAAGAGGGCCGAGCTCTTCCTCCCAGGTAAGGTGCACTGCATTTTAACAGCTGCCTCTTCAAAAACCTTTAGGTGCAGGTCAATGTCATTTGAAAGGCCAGGCCAGGTCAGAGGAGGAACCAGGGAGAAGACAGTGTAGGCTGACAGAGAAGATGGGGGGAGAGGGGATTCATCCATTCTGCAAATATTTATTGAGCACCTGCTACACGGCAAGTACCGTTTAGGCAGAGGGTGGTCTTTGCAGTTGCATACACCTGAATTTACATTCCAAAATCACCACTATCAAGCTGTGACTTTGAGCAATTTATTTAACTTCTCTGAGCCTCATTCATTCACCTCTTACATAAATGAAGGAAATAATGCCTACTGTACTCTATTTTAATGTTGTGAAATTAAATGAGATGAGAATAGTGCCTGGTATATGGTAGGCACTCAGCAAATATAGTTACCTGCCAAAGGTAAGTCCTTGTAATTATCCTCAAAGTAGTGCCTACTTTGTCTTCCTAAATGACCAGTGTCTGTCAAGACAAAGATCTCTAAGGCTTATCACTGTGTAGAGGTAGACCTGCTGGTACCTTTGAGTTCCACTACACTCAATAAAATAAAGGACATCATTGGCCTAAGTGAGACATGTGCTTAGAGCACCATATTCAAAAGGACAATTATCAAGTAATTCCTCTGTTAGGCACACTTCCAGGATATAGAAGTGAGTATTTCACGGACTTCGTACTAACTCCAAGGAGCTTACAGGATAGTAGAGTTCATGCTCCCAGAAGTCAGTGATTTCCTTCCATTTTCTAGCCACGAGCTGTCCTGATTGTAAATATCATATCCACAACTATTAGGGAAACAAGGCAAGTCCAGTCTGAAAAGCTCTCAGCAAATTCATTTACACCAGCAAGTCATATTTCAGAACACACCTGCTGTATAGATCTGCAGTCCCCAACCCCTGGGCTGCAGCCGAATACCAGTCTGTGGCCTGTTAGGAAATGGGCCACGTATCACCAACCACCTGATATCATGGTTAATATACATTCCTTGTAAAGGAAGGACCCAGACCTGGCCCCTCAGTCTCTCAGGTGGGAATTGACTACTTTTCATCTCCTCTCCAAGGAATTCTATGGCCACTGCTCTGGACAGGGCATTTGAAGTGATAGATACTCAACTAAAGGATACAGGAGAGGCCAAAGGGGAGGGGATTCATAAAAGCCAGAACATTTATGTCTAACATTTCCTAAAGATTTCTGGTGCTCCATGTCCTCTCAACAACTACAGCAAAGCTTTATTTTAGGAAGAAAATCTCTAGACTTACTCTTAGCTAAGCAAAGAGGGTTACCAGTTTTGCACTTCTATCTTGGCACCACCCCATACCTAATTTAGTGAGCAGGCTAAGGACTACCAATGTGGTCACTGAGATAGGGTGATGAAGGCAGCCTCAGATCCTCAGGCTTTCCTCCCTCACTGGCAGGACCTGGGTTACAGCTACCTTCACTTTAGGACACTGTGCCTGGTTATGCCAACCTCCAAGGAAGAGAAAATCCTTAGGTCACAATGTCATTGACATACTCTGCTTGACTAAAAATCAGAGGCACGGCGTAATGGACAGGAGGGGTGCTGGAAACAAGGTGATAAAGCTCCAAGACCAATTAGAAGCGGCAGAAAGTGTTAATGTGGGAGTCACAGTCCAATCTTTTATATTAAAAACTTTTAAAGGCAATTTGCTCTTGCTAATGAATTTTCAACATCCCTGCCTTTTACAGACTCACCTTTTGCCAGCATTTTAATTCAAACTTTTAATACACACACACATTCTCCCTCTCTCCTGAAAATTTTGTCTTATACCCATATAAGGTTTGGAGAAAATACTACTTTTTCCCTATTGAGTTTATTCTTCGTCTACTTCAAATAAGCACTTCATCACCTTCTTTACAAGTTTTCACACTGTACATTGAGGCTCACTGGCTTCTCTTTAGTTCTTAATGACTCTATGGTGCCTCTCCTCAGACTTGGTAAATGGGTAATTGTCCGAGTGACTAGGTGCGCAAGCTACTCAATAGTTATAAACACAAGAGACACCGAGGGCTCAGAAACCCTTCACACAGAAACCATTGCTGCCATTGGTAATGGCAGTATATTCTTTTGAATCTTCTCAATGGGCAACTCTTCAACTTTTAAGTGCAGATTTGATTTAACTAAAAGTGATCGAAATTCATTCAAAATAAAGTCTAGAGCTCATTTAGAAACATACTAGTTTCTCCAAATGTAAAAATAAGGTATTAGAACCATGTCTTATTATTAAATTCAAGTTGGTAAGAATGTCACCAGTCTCTTTTTGTTCAAGAAACTGCCCTTACAAGGAGATGCCAGCCTCGCCATGACAGAGGTTGGTCAGGTCCACAGCACAGGCCCCGGTTCCATTCTCATCCATGCTGTCCCAGTCCTGCCAGTATTTTCTATCCCAGGGACTGGACACAGTAGGCACAGCTGAGGTGGGTGCTGCTTTTCCCACTGCCTCTAGAGCTCCTACCATAACTATTGGGACCAGTTAGAACTTTGCCAACGACCATTCCCCAGTCTTACTTCCTTCTGAGTCCTGCCTCTAGAATCAAATCATGACTTCCGACCGTAGATTTAAAGACCCTTCACTAATCTCCAGTCCACAACTCTCTGCTCCACTAAAGCAGGCTGATCATTTCCAGTCCAATAATTCATTTTATATGATATTCTAAGCCTTTCAGGCACATGGCAGTCACTTGAGGGAACGTTAAAAAACAAAGTAAACATCCTGGACCCATCACAGTCCAATCAAATCATGTCAGGGTGGGCGCTGGCATAAACATTTTGTTAAGTTCCCCACGTTATTCTAATGTTCAACCACAAATAAGCCAGTGCAGAAGAATCTTCCTGCTGTTCCTCATCTCCTTGTCTCAACCCCACAAGATCATCTGGGGAAATCCTAAATTACTGCCTACTGGCTAATAACATATTTATTCTTGCTTTTATCCTGCTCATTGAGGTTGTAGATATTTTCTTATATTAATACAATTTTCAAAAATTGTAAACTCAAGGCCAAGGACTGAGTTAATATAGATTTATGTACATCCTTAATTTTGAATTCTGCTTGTTTAATCAAGTCTCTCCAGTAATGTTCCTACCACCTTGCTGATCTAATTCTTCCTATAGATAAAACTGATTATTTTACAAAAGTTGCTGGTATAAGTCAACACATTATATAGGTCAACCTGATATTTCTGCATTAAACTTTGTTTTCAATCTCTGCCCACACATAATTTTGCTTCTCCCACTGCTCCCCAAATTGCAATCTTGGATTAGCCTTTCCCCAGCACAGGCAAGTAAATTGGAAATGAATAAACAACTATGCCCAACCTTGAGGAGAAGCATCAACATTATCCAGGAAATTGTTTAGTCAACAATTCTCCTGTATCTACTATACCAACACTTTATTCTTGTGCCTGCAGTATAGGTTTCAAAGAACTTTTTACTCTTCCCTCATTTGACCCTCTTGACACCTTTCTACAGTAGGTATTATCCTCAGTGTGAATGCAGAAACTGAAAGGTTAAAAATCTGACTTCCTGAACTTCTTTCTAGGACCTTTTTCATTAAAATAATCTTCATTCTTACAAAGCTTTAAAAATGCCTTATACAAAGTGCTGTCTTTACATTACACCAAATTTATAGGGAAAAGTAATCATTGAGTGACCCCAGCACCCTAGCAAAAGAATTATTTTGGTATTTTAAAATGCTATGCTTTAAAATATGTAAATGTAGACTTTATAAATATTTAAAACAAAATTTTATACTTTTGCTAGAACTTTGTCAGTTTGTGTGGCTTTGAAGTAATTATAGTATAGTTAGAATGAGACTCTTTATTCTGTAATAACACATCCCTCTCCAAGGTGTTTATTCTGCTGTGCTGAAGCAATCACTCAATAGGGCAAAACCTAAGTAGGAAGAAACCAAAGAAACAGGACCCAGAAGTACAATCTTAAATTCTATAATGTTGGAGTTGGAAGGGACTTTATAAAGTCCCTATACATAAAAATATATTACCATTTTGTTCATTCTTCACATTATAACTAGGAAAAAGATCTTCATAGATTAAATAGTTTGCCCCATATCATGTAGACAATGTTAAGCAAGGACCATAATCCAGTTAATTCCTACTACAGTGGTCTTCCCACTATACAGTGAATCATGGTGCATCCCTGTGCCTACAGCAAAAGGCACCATGCAGGATACAAAATATGGCCTCTGTTCCTGGGTGGCTTAACTTTAGACCAGTCTCAGGATTTTACAGTAAATACTGGCTTTGCTGACAAACACACAAAAAGCCACATAGCTCAATGAGGTTTTATCAAATATTTTATCTGAAATGTAACCTGGCAATCTTCAGGAGCATTGCAGCATGCTATTTTTGAGGCTTCTCTAATTGGGCTGTGTCTATCTACCTTCTTTGATGGGTGGTTGGGCTGAGGGGTGAAATTTGTTTTGAGGAGGCGATTTAACTGACCAATTTGACAAAAGTCATTGTGTGTGTGTATGATTGTGGCTAGAGTTACTTATTTAAAAAGAAACTGGAGCAGGTCCAGAAAGGGAGGAATGACTCTAGAAAGTGACAAATGACTCCTTCTGCATGATACATAAACACCACCTTCCAGGTCCTTTACACAAGGGACAATATGCTTTGGCCTATGATGGCACTTAGGAAGAAGTCTTTTAAGGAACCCTGATACAAGTTAAACAGAGATTCTTTCTATCCTGGTAGTACTAGAAATGCACTACTATGTCACTGTTTGCCCAATCCCAAGTAAATCTACAGGCCCACAGATCCTGGTGCAGGGGCCACAGGACCATCACACCTAACTCTAGCCAGCTGAACCAGGATGAACATGTACATATCCCATGGGCAGCCATTCCAAGGGTTGGCTGGAAACTTCTGTGGCCTGGTACAGAAAGAGGAGCTGGACTAAGAAAAACCAAGGAATCAGAGCCATATGGTATCACGGCACACAGAAACTTACAGAAGCCAAGTACAGAAGAGATGGAAGAACAAGCTAAATGGAAGCAAAAGATGGCAGCAGGCAATAAGCAGAAACATCCAGTGACCACGTGCTTCTGTACAGCAGCCTCAGTTCTTGACACTTTCCACTTCAAATTGAGCCTGGCTTTCTGGCCCCCTCTGGTGGGTCCTGTAAAATCTTTCCTGATAGCTACCATACTGAACCTCCTATGTCAGGTTCTGCGCTTAACACTCCATTGCAGATTTTATTATTAATGATGAGGGAAGTTACGGAAAGCACTCCTCTAGAACCAGCTAAGGTGTTTTCAATATCAAATGTTCAACAGAAAAGGATCAAGGTTATCTTCTTTCACTTTCTAGACAATCAATCAATTTCCTTTTCACATAGGTGGCTGAACCAGAGGATCATCCAATGGTGATGATGAAAAACCTAATAAGCAAAGAGTAAGTCTGGTTATAGTCAACACCTGGATCCACTCCAAGGAGATGGTGCCTATGTGTGATAGTGCAGACTTCCTAGACCAGAGGGTGGACAGAACACATTTCTGCGATTTCCTCTTTTCTGTCTTGTCTGCTCAGGACAACCAGTCCTTAGGTACTTTGTTAACTACAGAGTTAAATGCATGGTTTCTCTCAGTAGCAATTGATGGGCCAAGAGTTTCTCTTCCACATACTAAAACCTTTCTGTTAGACTTTACATTCTCTTTTCCATTGATCCCTTTTATTTATCCACTTTTGAATCTTAAGCAAACATTCTTTATGGCTAGCCTGGAGTTCTACCTGGTAGGTGGCTGATGGAGGAAAAGAACAGAATGTGCAACAGTTGCACTTTGTGCCAGGGCTGAGGAACAGGTTCGCACCTACTCCCATCTTTCTGGGATGACCTTACACATTCCCTCTCATTCAGCTTTATGACTCTTGCTTCATTGGTATTTGAATTATGTCCACTATTTGCCAAATTTAGGTCCCTGCTGGTTACAGTTCCTTGCACAAGGGGCTCTAGAATATATCTGTAGCATTTTAACCCAAAGGTCTCTTTCATTAATAAGCTGTGTCCTTGCCAAATCTTTGAGTAAAAAAGAATTTTAGGTGTTACCTAGTCCCACATCTCACCTAAGGTAAGAATCCCTTCTCCACCATACCCTGGAAAATGCTTGAATGCACCCAGAAAAGGGAGCCCACCACCAAAGACCGTACTTTGACTCTTCTCCATTTTCACTGGAGGAAATCAAGATGCAGACAAGAGCTGAATCTCATACTCAAGTTCCTAGTCACCAAAGAAGCCAGAACCCTGGCTTGAAAGCTCTTAATCCAGATATGCTGGGGTTCTGTTCATCATCATGTCTTCTTCTAAACCAGTGGGCTTTTTCCTCATCTAGACTATCAATTATGACAGCAGCCTAGGTCTCACACACATTTCTTGTCTCCCATGGTCCCTGGTATTGTGAATGTCAGAGCAAATGTTTTATAAAAGGGATTATTCTAAAAAGCAGCATGTTCAGACAGAACCTCCCAAGAAACAAAGCTAGCTGGGCTAACACCTTTTCCTAGTGTGGTTAAGCGTAACTAGGTAGAGTGAAGGTTAGACTAGATGATAAGGAAAAAAAAGGGTCCCTTCCTTATCATTTCATCAAGAAAGTATCCTAAGTATTTCCAGACCTTGTTCCAGGCATCTTAGGAAGAATCGGGAAACAAGAGTGTGTAGGAACAAACAACTTTTCTGCCCAAGATGTAGGGCTTCTGTATTCCCCGTCTTCTATCTTAGGCTTCCAAGCAGAAGTAAAACAACATATCAAATTCATTTTAGTCGAGTTTCAGCAAGAATTTCTCTGCTTTGATTTTGCTGTCTTTTTTGGCTTTGCCTGGACAGAAGCCAAAGACAGAGACAGGATTTTGGCAGGCGAAGGAATGTATCACAAGATTTTTTAAAGAATAATTTTCCCTTTTTCCTTTCAACAGCCTCATTTTGCAGATGAAAATTTGAGATCTGTAAAGGGAAAGTGACTTACACCCAGTTGCAGAGACACTGAGTAACAGCACACTCAGATGCTCCCAGGTGATTAAATGACCTCAAGAAAAGAACACACAGTAGTCAGGGTCCCTAAAAGCAAAACAAGCAGGAACAGGCTGCCTTTGTCTTTGCAGGGCGCTTAGCTCTTAGTGATCTAGGAAGTTCCTCAGTCTGTCTACTGCCAGTGGGGTAGAGCCAGATGGGTGAACATACACTCTCTGATGGCCCAAGAAAGCTGCATTGCAACCCTGTTATCCTCTCACTACTGAGGAAATGAAAGTCGAGAGTCTGCTGGCACTTTCTGAAACTCTGTAATGGTTCTGGAAAGTGCTGTGATCTTTGTTGCTGATGACTGCCAAGAATACCAGACACCAGGAATGGAAAAGCCAGCTTTCTGGCTTGGAAAAAATCAGGAAAAATTTGATGTAAATGACTCTAGAAACATGGTGTAGGCACAAATTTTAGGCTGTCCTGTCGCTGTTATGCCACCTATTTCTCAGGGATCCCCAGCTTTTAAAGCTGGCACTGAGAACACTACAATCAATTTTTTAACCAGGATCATGGCAAAGGTTTCTAGTAGTTTAAATGCCAGTAAGAACCTGAATGCTTCAAATCAAGCGAGTACAATAAGGAAATATTCTCCTTATAAGCTTTTAAAGTCAGATTTCTTGTTCACCCAATTAAACAAAATGTATTAGAAGAATTAATCTAGGAAGGTAGTCTTGAGTTACCATGTTTCAGGGAAAGGCAACCAAACAGGTGTGTGAACAGATTGTGGCTGGTTTTTAGAGAGAAGGCAGTTACATCAACAGTGGCTTAAGCACCTTCCTCCAACCACCATCTTAACTATCAAGGAATTAACGAAAGGCTTTAAAACATTCTCATGCCTCACGATGGGCTTCAAGCTTTGGAGGCTCTTCCTATCCACCTGTCTCTACCTAGAGACACAATCTATTATCAATCTGTTATCCTGTGATTATAGAATAACCAGAGGTCAAATCTTGCTTTCCAACCACTGTAATATTCTCATAACTTTTGCTTTTGCAGTATCTTTGAAATAATGGAGATGCTGGGATCATTTCCAGGTCTTTCTTGGTTTCAAAATGTGTTATTCTTGTAATGGTGTGAAGTTCCAAAGCACAAGCAATGTCTCTAGTCAAGCATATAGGACCCCACATTCACTGATGTGCCAGGTGATATTATCGTGGGTGGTGGAGCGGCTCATAGGCTTTCTCTTGGATTTTCTGCCCATAGAAAACCATGAAGCCACAGAGATTTATATTTACAAAACTCCCCCCCCACTCCCGTCCCCATACCACTGGTTGGCCTCTAGACCTTCAGTGTTAACACCTAGGCCAGATGTTCCGAGCCCAGTTAAGAGGGGACCTGGTGGGTCAGGCGGCTGTCCCGATGGGTCACTATCACCCCTACAGCCTCCATTGTGGCCTGAACGCAGGTGGTCTTTGAGTGTCTGTTTGTAGCGGAAGCTTCTGCCGCAGTAGGAGCAGGGGTAGGGCCGCTCCCCAGTGTGGATGCGCTGGTGTTTCATGAGGTGATGCTTGCGGATGAAGCTCTTGCCGCAGTGAGGACAGCTAAAGGGCCGCTCGCCTGTGTGCAGCCGCCGGTGGTTCAGCAGGTGTTCCTTGCGCATAAAGCTCTTACTGCAGTCAGTGCATGGGTAAGGACGCTCACCTGTGTGGATCATCTGGTGGCGGATCAAGGCTGAGTGGCCATTGAAGTCAATGCCACACTGAGGGCAGGAGAAAGGCCGCACTTGTGCATGACCTCGCTGGTGGAGCAGGAGGCTAATTTTCAAGCTGAAGCTCCTGCCACACTGGGCACAGCGGAAAGGCCTCTCACTAGCATGAGCCCGCCGGTGGCTTGTGAGTCGGGCCTGGTCGGCAAAGCGCTTGGGACAATCAGGGCAGGGAAAAGGGCGCTCAGTGCTGTTGTGGACCCTAAGATGGTAGGTGAGTCTTGATGGGTGAGTAAAAGTCCTGGCGCAGTGTGGGCAAGTCGGGGGTGTCTCACTGGCATGGTCCTGGGGGGTGCTGCTCAGGTTGGCCTGCGGAGGAAGGTGCTTAGGGCACTGAGTGCAGGGTAAGGGGTCCTCCCCAGAGTGGCTACACTGGTGGGTCAGCAACATGTCTTGGCTGAGACTCTTGCCACAGTGGTGGCATAAGAACACCTGTTCCCCATCTGGAGGTGGGATAGGGTAGCTGCCCAACTGAGTAAAAGTCACTTGTCCCTCAGAGGCTTCAGGCAGGTCACTGGCTGGATGCCCAAAAGGTGTCATGGATGCAGATTGCTGGCTTTTGAAAGCCACCTCTGAAAAAACATCCTTTGCTGCTGTTGGTGGTGGAGAAGAGAAGGGAACTGGAACCTCAGGGCACAAGGAAGCTGGAGCAAGGCCTTCAGCTTTGATGACAAGCTCTTCATCTGAAAGAAAGGACTTGAGTTATACCTGTCAACAACTGTCTCACCAGCTACTCTCATGCATTCCTACCCAGCTCTAACAGATTGCCCTGAGCATTAATTGGCTCAGATAAGAAACTCAGTGGAGGGCTGCGATAATAATCAAGGCATGCAGTCCCTGTGGCAAATCACCAGAAAATCTATCGTTATACCTCATCGATGCTCCCTGTTTAGAAAAGGAAAAGCCTTGGCATTAATCTTCCCAACATTACTGTCATTATGTTTTACCTCTGCTCAAGAACTTTCTGTTGCCTGTTGTGACAAAGCCTAAAATCACATGTTTACCTACTCCTATTCCTCTCTAGTCTATCAGATAAACCCTTCACTATAGTCAGCTGTCCTTACATTTCCTGAACACAGAGCACACGTTTCTGCTCTGCCTCTTTGCTCATTCTGTCCTCCCTTTGCAGAATGCTTCCCCCTCTCTACCTCTTCCCAAATTATACTCTGCCGTATCATACCAATCGTCTAAGGCCCAGTTCTGGCTTTACATCCTCCTTTAGGCCTTATCTAACTACCTAAACTAAAACGGATACATGTTCTTGAAACTTCTCATTTCTTTTATATATATATATGAGCACCCATCCCACTCACCCTTGACACTTAACAAGCATGCTTAGTATTGATGTGTGTGTTCCCAGTGTAAGTTTTTCCAAGAGCAAAAACTGTCATATTTTTCACTTGCATTTCCCAGGTGAAAAAAACACAGAGCATATATGATACTAAAAGAAACTGGATCCCTTCTGACCTTGAGATTCTCTTCTATAAATCAAATGGCAAAATATAGATGGCACTAAATATCTTGGAAGATAATTCTGTTTCTTCTCTGTCATTGTTTTTCCCTTCCCCAAGGAAAGAGCTCTTCCTAACATCCCTATGGTACCTCCCTGATGGCACTTCTGCCTCCCTTGTTTGTCCTCCCTCCCACTCCCTATTTTTGTTCTACCTTTTCTACATGATCTTCAAATGTTCTTCTGTCTTTCCCTACCCTCATACTTTTGGTCCATTTGTATGTACATATTTTTCTTCCTCTGACAGTTCTAATTTGTATATAAGAGTGTATTTCCTCACTCAAAAGTTATCTTGGTGATCTTTTGGTTCCATTTCTAGCTTATTTGAGCCTATCTTTATTCCTTTTCTCATGCTTCTCCCACAACCTTGCCTCTACAACCCCATTCACCACTGCTTCTTTAGTCAGTCCTGGCACGACCTGGATCTGATGTGAACCTCTTTGACATCTTACTCACCAGGATAAGTGGTCTTGTATATGTCACTCTCCTTGGACTCCTGTGGGGCCCCAACCTGAGGCTCTTCCTCTTGTTTAATCCAAGACAGAATATCTGATGTTGAAATAACAGGCTCTATTTGTATAGGAAAAAAGAGAAATGGTCTTTAGAAACTTGAATGAGAAGGTAAAATAATCATGTTGGTTTGCGGAACACTACATTTAGCCAAATACATACATACATACATACATATACGTACATATATATATATATATAATTTGTTTATTTAGTAACTAGAGACAGGGTCTCGCTTATGTTGCCTAGGCTGCTCTTGAACTCTTGGCCACAAGCTATCTTCCTGCCTTGGCCTCCTAAAATGGTGGGATTATAGGCATGAGCCAACATGCCTGGCTTCAAATATTTATTTCTAACTAACAATAAAACTGAACCAGCCTTTTAAAGAATGCATAAAAACTCTAGATAACCAGTTTCATATAAAACCAAATTTATATTTTTCTGTAATATAATCAGCTTAATTATCTACTTTCAGTGTGCCCATTTAAAAACAAATCACTTTTTTTCACACAACCCCAAACATCTACTTTCTTCAGTTTCTGGTATGACAAACCGTCCCACACACACTATGTACATTTCCTGCTCTAGACTCACAATCAATGATCTTTCTGAGAAATGAGATTTAAGACAAGGCTGTTAATTGCTAATCAGTTATCACTGCTTCTAGGTCTTTTCAATGGACAAAGCTGTAAAATACATTATTTGTAGGAAAAAAACCTGTCAATATTTCTGATTCATATTCAAGATTATAGAATTTAAATTAAATCCTTTTAATTTTTGTATCTTTTCTCTCTTTTTTTTTTTTGAGACAGAGTCTCGCTTTGTTGTCCAGGCTAGAGTGAGTGCCGTGGCGTCAGCCTAGCTCACAGCAACCTCAAACTCCTGGGCTCGAGTGATCCTTCTGCCTCAGCCTCCCGAGTAGCTGGGACTACAGGCATGCGCCACCATGCCCGGCTAATTTTTTATATATATATCAGTTGGCCAATTAATTTCTTTCTATTTATAGTAGAGACGGGGTCTCGCTCTTGCTCAGGCTGGTTTTGAACTCCTGACCTTGAGCAATCCGCCCGCCTCGGCCTCCCAGAGAGCTAGGATTACAGGCGTGAGCCACAGCGCCCGGCCTCTTTTCTCTCTTATCCTGAAAATCTTGGTTACTAGTGACATTAACATAATCTTTGCTTTATCTAAGAATATGTTTCAAAATAATACCAAATTATTTACAAAAATAAGAACTCAAAAGATTTGTCTCATGTTTTAGTCTTTAGACTAAACTATCCCCTTAACTAACCTCTAAACTATCCCTTTAACTATTCCCTTAAGAACATACAGTTAAAATATATTTTAAAGTTATTTGAAGTAAATCTTCCGTACATATTTGTCACCAACCTGATACACAGTTAGGTTTAGTTATTTCAGTATGTGTTTTAAAAAAAATTTTTTTAAATTATGCAAAATATTTACAGGGTTCTAAAATCAAAATTATAAAATAAAGTATATTCAGAAAGGTCAAGCTTACATCTCTATCCCCCCCTACACACACATAGGTAGCTGTTCTTACTGGTTTTTGTTTTAATCTTCTATTATTTCTTTGTAAGTACATTAGTCCTCCCTTATCATGGGGATATGTTCCAGGCCCCCCAGTGAATGCCTGAAACCACAGATACTACTGAGCCCTATGTATACATGCATATCTCAATTTATTGCACTTTGCAGATACTGTGTTTCTTGTATGGTTTTTTTTTTTTTAGTTGAAGGTTTGTGGCAGCTTTGTGTCAAGTTGTTTTATTGGTGCCATTTTTCCAACAGCATGTGCTCACTTTTTGTTTCTGTGGCACAGTTTGGTAATTCTTGCAATATTTCAAACTTTTTCATTATTATATATGTAATAGTGATCTGTGATCATTAATCCAACTATTGTAATTTATTGAGGCACCACTAAACACGCACATATAAAACAGTGGACTTAATTGATAAACATTGTATGTGTTTTTCTTTTTTTTTTTCTTTTGAGACACAGTCTCACTTTGTTGCCCATGCTAGAGTGAGTGCCATGGCATCAGCCTAGCTCACAGCAACCTCAATCTCCTGGGCTCAAGCGATCCTACTGCCTCACAGCCTCCGGAGTAACTGGAACTACAGGCATGCGCCACCATGCCCGGCTAATTTTTTGTATATATATTTTTAGTTGGTCAATTAATTTCTTTCTATTTTTAGTAGAGACGGGGTCTCACTCAGGCTGGTTTCGAACTCCTAACCTCCAGCAATCCGCCCGCCTCAGCCTCCCAGAGTGGTAGGATCACAGGCCTGAGCCACCATGCCCGGCCTAGTATGTGTTTTTCTGATTGGTCCACAGACCTGCCATTCCTTTGTTTCTCTCTCTCTCCTCAGCCCAATATTGAAATTAGGCCAATTAGCAGATGTGACAATTGCCTTTCAACTTCCTACTTTCCCAAGTGTTCAAGTGAAAGAAAGAGTAGCAAATCTCTCACTTTTAATCAAAAGCTAGAAATGATTAAGCTTAGTGAAGAAGGCATGTTAAAAGCTGAGAGGTCAAAAGCAAGGCCTCTTGTACCAAAGTTAGCCAAGTTGTGAATGCAAAGGAAAGGTTCATGAAGGAAATTAAAAGTTCACACCAGGCCGGGCACGGTGGCTCATGCCTGTAATCCTAGCACTCTGGGAGGCCAAGGCGGGAGGATGGCTTGAGGTTAGGAGTTTAAGGCCCGCCTGAGCAAGAGCAAGACCCCGTCTCTACTAAAAAAAAAAAAAGAAATAAAGAAATTAGCCGGACAACTAAAGATATATAGAAGAAAAATTAGCCAGGCCTGGTGGCTCATGCCTATAGTCTCAGCTACTTAGGAGGCTGAGGCTGAAGGATTGCTTGAGCCCAGAAGTTTGAGGTTGCTGTGAGCTAGGCTGACGCCATGGCACTCTAGCCTGGGCAACAAAGTCAGACTCTGTCTCAAAAAAAAAAAAGTGCTACTCCAGTGAACACAGCAATGGTAAGAAATATAATAGCCTTGCTACTGATACGGAGAAAATTTTAGTGGTCTGGGCAGAAGATCAAACCAGACATAACACTTCCTTAAGCCAAAGTCTAAACTAGAATAAGGCCCCAACTCTCTTCAATTCTGGGAAGGCTGAGAGAGGTGAGGAAGCTACAGAAGTTTGAAGCTAGCAGAAGTTGGTTCACGAGATTTAAGGAAAGAAGCCATCTTTATAACATAAAAGTGCAAGGTGAAGCAGCAAGTGCTCATGTAGAAGCTGTAGCAAGTGATCCAGAAGATCAGCTAAGATCACTGATGAAGGTGACTATGCTAAACAACAGATTTTCAACACAGATGAAACATCTTTCTCTTAGAAGAAGATGCCACCTAGGACTTTCAAGCTAGAGAGGAGAAGCCTGGACTTAAAGCTTCAAAGGATAGGCTGACTTTCTTCTTAGGGGCTGATGCAGCTGGTGACTAACTTAAGGCCAATGCTCATTTACCATTCTGAAAACCCTAGGGTTCTTAAGAATTATGCTGAATCTACTCTGCCTGTGCTCTGTAAAGAAAACAAAGCCTAATGACAGCACATCTGTTTACAGCATGGTTTACTGAATATTTTAAGCCTATTGTTGAGACTACTGCTTGGAAAAAAAATATTCTTTAAAAATATTACTGCTCATTGACAATGTACTTGGTCACCCAAGAGCCCTGATGGAGATGTACAAGGAGATGAGTGTTGTTTTCATGCCTGCTAACACAACATCCATTCTGTAGCCCATGGATCAAGGAGTAATTTTGAATTTCAAGCCTTATTATTTAAGAAATACATTCCATAAGGCTACAGCTGCCATAGATACTGATTACTCTGAAGGAGCTGGGCAAAGTAAATTGAAAACTTTCTGGAAAGGATTCATTAACCCTTGCACTTGGCTTGCTTTTTTCTCAATTCCTTTATTCTACTCAGGATTTAATTTTTTAAATACCCCAGATTTTATAAAGCGTGGCAATAGAATAAAAAACTGGAGTTTCTTTTAATACAAACTTATTTATTTGGATTTTTTATATTTAAAATTATTGATACATTCAAAGAGTAATTTTAATCTCTATAATTTTTGCTAACTGTGTCGAGTCACACTTGACATCCGAGTGCAAAGGTTTAAGAACTTTTATGATTCATGGGAGGAGTTCAAAATGGCAACATTAACAGAAGTTTGGAAAAAGTTGATTCACCCCTCATAGATGACTTTGAGAGGTTCAGTACTTCAGTGGAGGAAGTCCCTACAAATGTGGTGGAAACAGTAAAAGAACTAGAATTGGAAGTGGAGCCTGAAGATGTGACTGAATTGCTATCTCATGATAAAACCTGAACAGATGAGGAGTTGCTTTTTCAAGGTAAGCAAAGAAAGTGATTTCTTGAGATGGAATCTACTCCTGGTGAAGATGCTGTGAACCCTGTTAAAATGACAGCAAAGATTTAGAATATCACATAAACCTAGTTGATAAAGCAGCAGCAGGGTTTGAGAGGACTGATTCTAATTTTGACAGAAGTTCTACTGTGGGTAAAATGTAATCCAATAGCATCATATGCTATAGTGAAATCTTTTGTGAAAGGAAGAGTCAACTGATGAGGCAAACTTCATTGTCGTCTAATGTTAACAATTGCCATGGCCACCTCAACCTTCAGCAACTATCAGCCTGATCAGTCAGCAATTATTAACGTCAAGGCAGGAAGCTCCACCAGAAAAAAGATTATGACTCACTGAAGGCTCAGGTGATCATTAGCATTTTTTAACAATAAAGTATTTTAATTAAGGTATGTACATTGTTTTTTTGGACATAATGCTATTGCACTTAATAGACTACAGTATTGTGTACACATACCTCTTATATGCACTGGGAAACAAAAAAATTCGTGTAACTCACTTTATTACAATAGTCTAGAACTGAATCTGCATTATCCCTGAGGTATGCCTCAACTTGCCACCTCCCCTCCACTCCCCCCACCCCCCCCTTTTTTTTTTTGGAGAGACAGGGTCTCACTGTTACCCAGGCTGGTCTCAAACTCCTGGCCTCAAGCAATTCTCCTGCTTCAGCTTCCTCAAGTGTTGGGATTACAGGCATGAGCTACAGTGCCTGGCTGTACTTGCCTTTAATGCCAGTTCCATCTTAACTAAGTACTTACCACACACTGTGGCCATAATTTTTACAGTTTGAGGTGGGACAGCAAAACTAACACAAATTTCTTTTTCTTTCTTCACAATTTCACAGATAGAAGATTCATTCATTCTTATCACAGATCGTAGCAACCTCAGCATACAACTTTCCTTCCTTATTAAGTTAAAACATTTCACCTTTTTCACTTAAAGAAGCACTTGATGGCTTCTCTTTGGCATATCCAAATTGCCACCATCACTACTCTTGCACTTTGGAGACATTATTTAGTAAAATAATGAACATAAGCACTGTTTCTTGAACATAAGCACGGTTGTACCACCACAGTAGAGATGGCTACTTGGTAACTAACAGGCAAGTAGGCTATACAGTGTGCATTCACTGGACAAAAGGATGACACAGTCCTGGGTGGGAAGAAGCAGGACAGTGCAAGATTTCATCACACTGCTCAGAAAATGCATTTAAAACTTATGAATTATTTCTGGAATCTTCCATTTAATATTTTTGCTTGTTTGTTTTTATTTTTGAGACACACAGGCTAGACTGCAGTGGCATCTTCTGCAACCTCAGATGGCCTCAGATGGCAACCTCTGAGGCTCAAGTGATCCTCCTGCCTCAGCCTCCCAAGTAGCTGGGACTACAGGTACACACCACTGTGTCTGGCTAATTTTTCTATTTTTGTAGAAAAAATAGAAAATAGATATATTGCTCAGGCTAGTTTCAAACTCCTGGCTCCTGCCTCAGCCTTCCAAGGTGCCAGGATTACAGTCATGAGCCACCTCACCCAGCCTCCATTTTTAGACCATAGTTGACTGTGGGTAACTGAAACCATGGAAAGTGAAACCTCAGGCAAAAGGAGACTACTATATGTATATATATTCTTATTTTCCCTCCTTAACATAATGTGTCATACTATACAAATTATTCTATACTTTGATTTTTCACTTAACAAGAATATTCTGGAGTCCTTTTTCATTTTTTATAGTTGTACTGTAACATTGTTTATTTAAGAGTTCTCACTTGATGGACATTTAGAATTTTTCCAGTCTTTTGTTACGATATTAGCTAACTACAAACGCTATGGAGAGCTAAAAAAGTAATAGGCCAGTTCTCCAGAAATATAAGCTGTTATTACTATAGTCCATTGGCTAAGTATGTATTCATTGAACTTGAGTAATCCCAAGAAGCTAATCCTTCTTTTTTGAATGACAATGTTAAAAGTCTAAAAGTTTCTCTGGCCATTTAACTAACTAGAGTCATACAACTAAATAAATAATTATTTTATTAAATAACTGGTTCTGGCTGGGCATGGTAGCTCACGCCTGTAATCCTAGCACTCTGGGAGGCCAAGGCGGGTGGAGCGGGTGGATCATTTGAGCTCAGGAGTTCAAGACCAGCCTGTGCAAGAGTGAGAGCCTGTCTCTACTAACAATAGAAAGAAATTAGCTGGACAACTAAAAATACATAGAAAAAATTAGCTGGGCATGGTGGCCCATGCCAGAGTCCCAGCTACTTAGGAGGCTGAGGCAGAAGGATTATTTGAGGCCAGGAGTTTGAGTTTGCTGTGAGCCAGGCTGATGCCACGGCACTCTAGCTTGGGCAACAGAGTGAGACTCTGTCTCAAAATAAGATAAAATAAAATAAAATAAAATAAAATAAAATAAAATAAAATAAGATAACATAAAATAAGATAACATAAAATAAGATAAAATAAAATAAGCTAAGCTAAGATAAAAAAAATAAAATAAAATAAAAAACTGGTTCTAAGCAAGAGAGGGATCCCATTTCTACTAAAAATAGAAAAAATTAGCCTGGTATGGTGGTGTATTTGTAGTCCCAGCTACTCAGTAGGCTGAGGCAGGAGGATCGCTTGAGCATAGGAGCTGGAGGTTGTAGTGAGCTATAATGATGACACTGCACTCTAGCCCTGGTGACAGAGCAAAACCCTGTCTCAAAAAAAGAAAAAAAAAGTCATGAATATGTAATTAAACCTAAAAGGGGAAAACATAAAGGTACTAAAGGATAGACATATATAGTTTGGTTTTTTTTTAATGGTACATATTGATCAGCCAATGTTATATGAGTCCTGTTCTCAAGTTCTGGTAAATACCTAGATTGATAATCACCAATGTAAGCTAAAATTATAATAAATAAAACCAGAATACTAAATAAATTGAACACTTATGTTGTTTGCTAATTTTCAGTAAAAATATAATTGAAGTATAATATATAGGTTGACTACCCAGAAATGGAGTTTTAAAAAACAAGGTAAAAACAAATTGATAAGATAGCAGCTAAATGAAAATTTGATACATCATTATACAACCAAATTACTTGTATCTTTTTTACCCATCCCCCCCCCCAAAATGATATAGTCATTTATACTTGCTGAGGAGTATGTCAGGTAACTAAAATGTGGACCAAAGAGATATTCCCAATAATAAATCATTCTGTAATCAAGTCACTCATCTTTATGGGTGATATTTTAATCTCATTACCTATAGCTATGATATATAGATCAAATTCAACCTGTTATATTGCTTAAATGCAATCATCCATACATTCTGAAACATAATATATGTGTGACAGATGCATGCATTGCTCAAAACTCAGAGAATGTACAATTAAGACTTGAGCACTGGCCGGGCGCGGTGGCTCGCACCTGTAATCCTAGCTCTCTGGGAGGCCAAGGTGGGCGGATTGCTCGAGGTCAGGAGTTCAAAACCAGCCTAAGCAAGAGCAAGACCCGGTCTCTACTATAAATAGAAAGAAATTAATTGGCCAACTAATATATAGAGAAAAAAAAATTAGCCAGGCATGGTGGCACATGCCTGTAGTCCCAGGTACTTGGGAGGCTGAGGCAGCAGGATGGCTTGAGCCCAGGAGATTGAGGTTGCTGTGAGCTAGGCTGACGCCATGGCACTCACTCTAGCCTGGGCAACAAAGTGAGACTCTGTCTCAAAAAAAAAAAAGACTTGAGCATTTCATTGTATATAAAATTGAGCTAAAAAATATTGAACTCCAGGTTAATGATATTCATGGTGAACTATTTAGAGAGAAATGTTAAGATATCTCTACTGATTTTAAAATACATTGAAAACAGAGTAAGTTGATGGATGGATATATGCATGATAAGGAAGGATGGTATAATGTCATTGGTAGAATCTAGGTGCTGGATATCTAGGTGTTCAGTATAAAACTATTAATATTTCAACTTTCTTAGTTGAAAATTTTCATAATAAAACGTTAGAAAAAAGATAACAGTGTATGGGACAGGGGTGGGTTTTAAGAGAAGTTAATCTGAGAGAGATGTATGGAGAATAAATTTTCTGTGAGTTTCTAGCCAACAAAGAAAAAAAGTATATGAGAATTTTCTGACAACAAAGGTAGGACATGAGAGAAACAATACAATTGGACTTGGGCTAGCAGTCCTTCCCACACAGTATTAAGCAGCTGCCAATCAAAAAGTTAGGAAGAGTCAGTGATGGCTGGCTCCCCTGACCTGGCAGAATCCATGATGCCCAGGTGGGTATCCTCAGAGTCCACTGGTTCCACACACCTTGGAAGGACTATGCAGATGCCTAGTCCCTTCGACACTCCTGAAGGGTCATGCGTATATATTCACTTGAGCCACTTCACTCCAGATGGGCGTGACTGCTTCCTTTATGATGGAAGGACATGTTTATTTTCCTAAATAGCGAGGTCTCAGTACTTTTGTTGGGAAGTGCAATTAACCACCCTTACATGTGTGGTATTGATTGATGGGTGAAGGCATTGGACAAGGTGATATCTAAGCTCCCTCATACTTTTAGACGCCTAATGATCCAAAGTCTAGTTGCTTTAGCACTGAATGGCTCTAAAAGCCCTTAAACCGTGCTCCTCTGAGCCGCCTTCTCTGACCAGGAAAGGAGCATGGGCAGTGGATAATCTCTTCTCCCACTTACCTTCACTAGGGTCTGTGGGAATCTCACTTTCCTCTGGCCCTGCCTGGTGCTCTGTATTTTGTTCTCCTTCTGGTTGAATCTGTGATAAGACATCAGGTTGATTCATAGCATAATCTAGGAGACAAAAAAAAGGAGAGTGTGTACAACAAAGAAATAAATGAGTGTGACAACTAATTGCCATCAAGGCTGACCTGAAGCTTTGAGGTTCATAGTCCCAGGGAATTTCTTATAGATCCCATATCACTTTTTCTCATCCATCCACCTCTAACTATGGATATCCATTCAGGAAAGCAGGTAAGAGGAAATGCAATGTGTGGGGAAAGCACATGTGCCAAGTGAGCACTGCTTACCCACTCCTTGAGTCACAGTGTGCCTCAATGGGGAGGAGAAATCAAGCTCCTCTCAAAGTGAAGGCCACCCATGGAAACCATCAGCGGACACACCGATAACCCTGAACTTCACTCTCTGTCCTATAATTTGGCAATAGGAGAGATGATTATTTTGATTTAGCAAGTGTGAATTGGTCATCTTTGCCTTGAAACCAGAATCTGAGGTGAGGATAGAGAAAATGAGGACACTAGAGGAAAAGGGACTGTTTAAGCTCTCTTGGAGCTGCTATCATCTCATTCAAAAGGTGCCAACACTCAGCCTCACCCATGGAGACGAGAGACTCGTAGTTGCCCTTCATGATATTCTTGTAAAGTTCCTTTTGCCATTCTTCTAACTTTTCCCACTCTGGAGTGGAAAAGTAGATGGAAACATCATCAAACGCCACAGGCACCTAAAATTACAATCACATGGATTAGTCCCTCCCATTGCAACTCAGTCATTCAGTAAATCTTATCCCCCTAACTAGTGCCTTTTATTATGTTTTTACATTTCAAAGGGTTGTCAATAAGTATTCTACATATCAATGAAACTGTTTTCTTTAATGTTCCATTTGTCATTAGTATGATCCTAATATCCTCACACTCATGCAATACAGCATGTAGCTGGTACCTTTCCCTGAAGCACATTCAAGTGTTTTGGCAAACAGTAATAAAGTATCTAAATGCTACATATTTTAAAACTTCAAGTTGTATTGAGTCTCTGATTTCACCCCTTTTCAAACTGCCTTTTCTCCAAGAATATCATTCCCTAGGAGATCCAAGTTCCTCTATTTTTTTGCTTTGTATTGTTTCTAGTTCTCTAGTCTTTTGCCAGGTAAAGAGTTAGTTCCCTTTGATGCTATTCCTTTTGCATATGAGGAAATGATAATTCCATGGTTGTTGACTGAAACCTAACAGGACTGATGCCAGACAAATGTTACGAACCAAAATTAAACTTAAAAATTCATTATGTCTTCTACATACATCCTTTAGTCTTTTTTGAAGTTTTGTATATTCTTCAAATGGAACATTTTGTCTATTTAATACCTGGCTTTCTGTTGCCAATTCTCTATTTGGCTCTGAGACTTCCACTTTCTCCTGCAATCTCTTCAATTTGTTTTCATGATGAGACTTTTAATTTTTCTGGGCAATTGCAGCTCACTACAGTTTCTCTCTAGCTTGATTGTACATTTCTTCTCTGTGACACATTCATGAAGTATATACTTTTCTTCCAAATACTGGTCTGTTCCTCTTTCAATGTCTTCAACTTCTAGCTGCACTTTTCCAGCCTGACTTCGTAAAATTTGGCATTCCTGTTTTAACTTCTCCATCATTTCCTTGAGCATTTGATTTAAATTGTGCAAGTCACTTTCTGACTCTGCAAGTTAGGTCACTGAATCTGAAAACTACTGATTTACTGTTTCAAGTCAGACTTTTCATTTTGTATTTTGTTCTTTGCTTGATTGTAGCTCTTTTTCCAAGCATTTGGCCTATCGTTTAGCTAACTTTTTCAGCCTCCAGGGATCTGACTGTGGCCTGGACCTCAGCCAGCTGCCACACCTGTATTCAATTCTTTTGATATTGAGCACCAGAATTCTTTTTCAGCCCTTAAATGTTGCTACTTCAGTCTCTGACTATTTTAATTTCCAAAAGAAATGAACTTTCTTGAACAAGTACCTCCACTCATTTGCTATCCCTTGTAGAATCAACACTAAGAAGCTGGCTATGTAGTTCATCTTTCTCCAGTACTGCAATCTCTAATTCATTTTACGTTTTCTTATAAAACATGTACAAATTCTTCTTTACGGTGATCAAATTCTGATTTGAGAAAAATGTTCACAATGTAGAAAGGCAGAGGTGGGGTGAGGTGCCAAAGGGTCCCCTTAGGCTTCCGATCCTGGGAAAATGTAAGGTCTCCGATAGACCTCTGAAGGCAGAGAGAGTAGTGTTGGAGAAAAGCCCATCTCCTTCTCCGTGGGTGGGCTTCCTCAAGGGTGCAGGGCCAAGACACTATCTCAGCCTGCTGCCCACTCTCCTCAACCTCCTCATTCAATAAATCTTTATTAAATGCCTACTAGTTACAAAAGTACAAATGCAACAGTTTTTACTTCACATAACAAAACATTCTGATATCCAGTATGTACAAGTTTTCGCTAAGCACCAAGATTATTAAAATATGCTTTCTGCCCAAAAGGGGCATATGACTATATGCAAATTAATGGCATGGACAATAATGGGGTTGGGATGACTCTAAAAGAGATGAGACTTTAGTTAGCTACTACTAAGAGGAATGGAAAAAACATTTAAGCAAGGAAAAATGAAGAGTGCATTCAGAGGATACTGTGTATTCTCACAAGGTGGAGTCAAGGTTTCAAGTAGGGAATGGCCATATGCAAAAAAGAATTCCTCCCACTTCTCAGTAGAAATTGGTCTAAAGCTAGGCAAAAATGGGAAAGTTCTTCTGTAAAGAAATGTAAGAACTATCTGTGAAAATGAAACTACCCAGTATGAACACTGTCACCTAATATAAAGCTGCCCTCATTCTGGAGTTTAGTTACTATAATGTCTGTAATGTCTATAATGTCTGTCTATAATGTCTTTCTCCTCCTATAATGTCTGTAATGTCTATAATGTCTGCCTATAATGTCTTTCTCCTCCCATCTGGCAGCTTTCTACAGTGTTAATCTTTGTAAACTTTTAAAAAACTCTTTTTGTAGAGACAAGGTCTTGCTGTGTTATCCAAGCTGGTCTCCAACCCCTGGCCTCAAGTGATCATCCCACCTCTGCCTCCCAAAGTGCTGGGATTATAGTTTTATTCTTGAATATGAACTATTAAGTATCAATGACCATTTAGAGAAGGCCTGTGATAGGAACATGAAAAACTAAAATAAAAGGAGGGGGAAAATGACCCTAAAAATCCCAGAAATAATTAGGGAACAGAATTTAGAAAGAAAAAAAAAAAACTTATCTAATTATTATACCCATAAATATGTGTGATGCACCCATATTTGTGGTTAATACGCCCATAAAATAAAAAACAGGATTCCATGGAAAAAGGACAATGAGAGAAAAAGAGTCTCCTTGTAACTAATACATAGGCATTCATATCATAACAACATAGGGGTAAAGAACAGACTGTTTATACCACAGATATTAATATAATATTGATTATCTGGACTCTATGTAGGCCTTGGCTAATGTGTGCATTTATGTCTTAGTTTTTAATAAAGTTTGTTTTTGGTTTTTTTTTTTGAGATAGTGTCTCACTAAATCATCCAGGCTGGTCTGGAATTTCTGGGCTCAAGCAATCCTCCTGCCTCAGTCTCCCGAGTTGCTGGGATTACAGACATGCACCACAGTGCTCAGCTCATGATAAAGTTTAAGAAATTAAAAAACAAAATCTAAAAATAGGAAAAGGCTTATTGAATAAGGATGTGAATAAAGAAAAATTTTATAACTGTACAATGTGTTTGTGTTATAACATTATAATGCAGCTAAAAAATTCCTATTGCCTAGTGATGTCCTAGTGTATTACTCATGTTTGTGGTGATGATAGTATAAACAAACCTACTATACTGCCACTAATGTAAAAGGATAGCATGTACAATTATGTATGGTACATAATACCTGATAATGATAATGATAATATGTTACTGGTTTATATATTTATTGTAATTTTTATCATTATTTAGAGTATACTCCTACTTATTAAAAAAAATTAACTGTAAAACAGCTTCAGGCAGGTCCATCAAGAGGTTATTTCAGAATAAAGCATTGTTATTACAGAATGACAGCTCCGTGCATGTTATTGCTTCTGAAGACCTTCCAGGGGGATGATATGGAGGTAGAAGACAGTGATATTGATTATCCGGACCCTGTGTATGTCCTAGGCTAACATGTGCATTTGTTTCTAAGTTTTTAACAATAAAATTTTTGATTTTTGTTGTTGTTGTTGAGACAGGGTCTCACTACATCATCCAGGCTGGTCTCGAGCGCCTAGCAAGCAATCCTCCTGTCTCAGTCCCCTGAGTAGCTAGGATTATAGGTGCAAGCCACTGTGTCTGGCTCACAATAAAGTTTAAAAAGTTAAAAAGATAATAAAAGTAGGAAAAAGCTTATAGAATAAGAATTTAAATAAAATATTTTTGTATAGCTGTATAATGTGTTTGTGTTTTAAGGTAAGTGTTATAAAAAAGTCAAAAAGTTAAAAAAAATTTAAAGTTTATAAAGTTAAAACGTTACAGTAAGTTAAGGTTAATTTTGTATTGGAGAAAAAAAATTTTTAATAAATTTAGTGTAGCCTAAATGCATAGTGTTTATAAAGCCTATAGTAGAGTACAGTAAGGTCCTAGCCCTTCACATTCATTCACCTCTCACTGAATCACCCTGAGAGCCTTTCAGTTTTGCAAGTTCCATTCATGATAAATACCCTATACAAGTGTACCATTTTTGATCTTTATACCATAATTTTACTGTACCTTTTCTCTATTTGTTTATATATACAAATACTTACCATTGTGTTACAATTGCCTATATTGTATTCAGGATACTAATATGCTGCACAGATTTGTAGCCTAGGAGAAATAGACTATACCTATACAGCTTAGGTGTATAGTAGACTATGCCATCTAGGTTTGTGTAAGTGCACTGTGATGTTCACACAATGACAAAATTGCCTAACAACACATTTTTCAGAATGTATCCCATTGTTAAGCGATGCATGACTATATATATGTATACATATACTTTATTTTTCAAGATTAAAATTTTCAATAAGTGGATTGGAGCATAAAGTCATGATAATTTCTCACAATACAGAACAAAAAGACAGATGAAAAACAGATGAGAGGGAAAAAAAACTAAAGACAAAGATTTGATTTAGGAGGTTCAACATCTAACTAGTAAGAGTTCCAGAAAGTGAGAACAGAGGCTGGACACAATGGGAGGCTGTAGCAATTTGGGAGGCTGAGCAATTTGGGAGGCTGAGGCAGGAGGATCACTTAAGGTCAGGAGTTTGAGGCCAGCCTGAGTGAGACCCCATTTCTACAAAAAATAGAAAATTTAGCTGAGCATAGTCCCAGCTACTTGGAAGGCTGAGACAGGAGGCTCACTTGAACCCAGGAGTTTGAGGTTGCAGTGAGCTATGATGACACCACTGCACTCCAGTGGCAAAAAGCAAGACTCTGTCTCAAAAGAAAAAAAAAAAAAATGAGAACAGTGGAAATGAAAAAATAGAAGGCACTTTTTAAAATAAGAAACAAAAGAGAATTTTCTAGGAGAATATACATCTCCAGGCACACTGAGCACTTAGCACAATATATCCAGACACATCATTATGACAGGTCATATTAAGTATAAAAAAAGATTCTAGAAGCTTCCAGAAATTTACCTACAAAGGAATAAAGATCAGACT